AAATAACTAATTAATTTATAACAAGTAAACAAATTTACAAGAAAAATATTGCATAATATCTCCTTTATTTTTATCTACTTGTATTTCTCTAATGTGAACAAATGAAAAAATTAGAAAAACAAAAAGTTATAATTTTTATTCTGTAAAGGTAAAACTGTAAAAGAGAAAATTTTGAAAAACTAAAAATAAAAACTTACCATTTTTAGGCTATGCGGAGAAATAAGAAGAATACAAAAGTGAAGGAACGGTAAAAAAAAAGTTAAAAAATATGAAAATAAATAAATAAAAAGTCTCTTACATAAAAAAAATTAAAATAAAAAAATGAAAAAGTTAGGAAGAAAAAACATAAAGTCAGAAAAAGAGAAAAAAGAAAAAGATAAAAATTGGAAATTATACAAAAGAATCAACATAATATTTAGTACGAGTGAAAAGATGAAAAAAAAAAGTATTACTATTTAAAAAATTATTATATATATATATATATATATATATATATATATATATATATATATATATATATATATATATATATATATATATATATATATATATATATATATATATATAATTGAGATGGGGCATGGGCACCCATGTTTCTGCCAATGTCTAAGACTTTTTTTTCTTTTAAATGTAACAAAATGTAATGAAAGTAACGTCGAGGTTCGGTAACATGTTTTGTAAAGTTTTGCAAAAGATATTTATATTGCATAATTTATAATTTTGAAGTTACTGGTGAAAAATCAAGATACGATACATGGATCTCATATATTCCACAATCTTTATCATTTTTTATAAACACGTCATTGCATGATTGATAAAAACTTGTTAAAATTGGTAAGGTTTTTCCATTAATTTGTTTGATTAATATGTTACAAATTATGAATTATTTGTTCATATTTGTTGTTAACATTGATTGAAAATTTGATAATTGTTCTTAAAAAGATTCAACCAATTCTATGTTGTTGACATTGTAGCATTGATGAAGAAGACGTTTACGCTTCAAATTGAGTGTAGAAGTAGTTACAATTATGATTTTGAACAATATTGTAGAATGAATAAATTTTGTGCGGATGATTATGTTATAAAAAAATTTACAAATAATTACATCAACTCTTTGGTAAGTATGCAAGGAATATGTATTTTTTATATTACTTAAATGTATACTATGTTGTAATTCCGAAAAACACAAATTCCATTTTTTATAGGTTGATAATTCAAAGGCACTTAAATTATGTAGCTCATTCATTGTGTATATGTATATCATGCACATTACCTATTCTACACAAATATACAAATTTAATTAATATGATGTCATGAGCAATGACATTCCAATGATTTATGTGAGAAAAAAAATTAGTGGACTGAGTGTGAATTTAACTGAGGTAGATATTCCTTTAAAGATGTTGAAGATACAACATTTTACTGTGGTTGACATATATGTTTTTTTTTTTTAATTTAATGGTATTGTGTGAGTAAAACAGTTAAGGTTGGATAAAATGTCAGATAAAATATGTTGGTTTAATCTTGAATACTATATCTCCATAAAATATATAGGATTATGGTTTTGACATGTTATCTTAATATTTATCATATTATTTTAAAATTTTAGAATGTTGATTTATTATTTAAGTGTAAAAATTAATTTTTTATTTTCAATACCAAATTAGAATCAACCACAACATCTAACATAAAAATAAAATATATTCTTTAATTACTAATAATTAACAATAACATTTTTTTTATTTTATTATTAATTGATGTATGTATTGATTTATTATTGCTAGTACCTATTTCAATAATTTGCAAATATTTAATACGGTAACATTTTTTTGGTAATCTTTTATCAACATATATTTAATTTTTCAATTTTTAAAAATATAAATTCAACTAATATCATTTCTGTCTTTAAACTTGTCACACAAAAACTTTTTAATGAATGACATATAGCTATATTATGTATTCATATGTCACTATATTTGTAAACACATATTAGTTATATCAATATTAATCTAACTATTTTAATTTTTTTAAATAAGTATATATATATATATATATATATATATATATATATATATATATATATATATATATATGATACGGTGGAAGTTTTTTTTAATGAATTTAAACATTTTTTTTATCGATTAATAATCTTTAGTATAAAATTATCGTAAATCTCACAAAAAATATATAATAGAATAAGATTACGATTAATAATTTAGAAAAACAAAGTTATTTTAACTATTATAATTCCTATAAAAAATATTGGAGACAAAACTTGTACAAGGGACTTGATTCCTTCTTATTTTAATTTTTTTTTAATTTAAAGAAGACAATTTTCTGTTCAATATTTACTTATAGTCAGTTTTACGTGATTGTTTTCAAAGTCAAAATAAAATAAATTACTAAAATTACTTTTTTTTTATTTGATAAAGAAAGAGACGTAATATCATATAAAAATATTATTTACAATTTAGGAAAAAAAACTTTAAATATAAATATATATGACTTTGATTTTTTTCGTACAATTTATATTCTACTAAAAAAACTACGTATTTTATTTATTTATTTGTTATATATATTTTTTTAAATTGTTTGTTAGATGAAAATGTGATTTATGAGATGAATATTATTTACAAATTATCTTTGCTTATAAAATACTCAAAATATTATTTAAAACTAACAAACTATTTCACACTTTATTACATTGATATTGATATATCATTGTTTATTAATGTTACATATTATAATTGCTCATTGATCATGACCTACCGTTGTCTAATATACTTATATTAAGCATTATTTTTGTTCTTTCTTAATTAGGTAAGTTAAATATTCTGTATAGTATAAATTTAGAATATTCGTTGATACATTCATATTTTTCATCCATATTATATTAATATATTTTAGTTTATTATTAGTATAAATTATACAAATATACAATATATAACTTATTTCTCTCTTTATTGTTTTAGCAAATAATATATTACATGTTTCCTGTATTATGAATTTACAAAAATTGTGAATTGAATGGATAAATATACTAATTCATCATAAATATTTTATTCTAACCATATTATACCACTTACACTATTTATTCTATTATATTTTAACGTTGGACATTAAAACATTTTAACCTATTTACATGAATGATCACGAAGTATGAAGTATCCTTAAATGTTCTTTAGTTTTACATCTTTTTAAACTCTATTAACAATATTGTAAGATATAATCAACGTAAGACTAGTAGAATAGGTAATGTGAAACTTATAATAGTTAAAAAAATTTATTAATATAAGAGGAAAATATGTTTTTTACTCGCTAAAATATTTAAATTCAATTATGATTTTCTAAAATGTGTTTTTTATAAATAATTTTAATTTGTAAAAAGATCAAATGCATAGTTTACCCTTAAAGTAATGTTTTAAATATTGGATTTTAAAAGTCATTAAAGAAATATTTAAATCCCCTAGCATATTTTTATATATAAAAAATGAATTTTATATAAAAATATAACGTAAAATATAAACAGCTATATTATTTGTTTTTTATCACTCACTTCAATACATAATTTATGAAATACTTTTAGTTAAAGAAATCAACTTAGCAGTTTTCAATTACTAGTTAATTTCAACTAACTTTTTTTATTTTTCAAGTACTTTTCTAAACATAACATTATTTACTCTTTTTTTTTCGGAAAAAGAGCCAAAATAAAATTAAAGAAAATACATCTTTTTTTTATAAAAATTATTTGAGAATTTCGTTTACAGACATTTACAAGTGAAGAATTAGAAAAATGATAAAATATTACTTATAAATTAAAATAACGTGTACATAAATTAAAAATAATATTTTTAAGAATTTAATATCATATATTTTTTGGAGTATAAACTAAGTTTAAATTGTAAATGAACTTCTTATTTTTTCTGATAAACGTTTATAAAAAAATTTGTAATATAAGGCGAATTTCATGCAATGTATCCCACAAATAATACCAGTTAATTAAACGAATTACTAATATATACCTTAAAAATATTAACGAGAAGCGAAATTGAAATTTCTTACATTAAAAATATAAAATATATTTAGTATTCATTTTATACCATAAATATTATTTAATATAGTATATTAAATATTTCTTAACTTATTTGGTAGAACCCAAATGATAGGTCTGAAAATTTAATTATAATCTTAAATATATATATATATATATATTTATTTTTTTTTTCTTTCTTTTTTTCCGTGATAATTTTATCAGATTTAAATTTTTTAATTGCTTTGTATGTGACCGTACCAGAAAGATGCAGGCTTGTGTTGTGGATAGAGGAAGTCACGTCAGCATGAAATTGCAATGGCATTTAATATACCTAAAATGCCCTTTTCATTCATTCATTTCTCCATTGACCACTTACCCAACTCTTTCCCTTCTCCATTCTTAGGGTTTTCTCAGTTTCTTCTTCCATTTTCTCCCTTTCACACTTCCCAACATTCATCTCCACTTTTTGAATAAGTCTTACTCCCTCCAAAGCTTCGTCTTTTTAACAACCCTTTTCCAGGCCTTTCCTTTTCCTTTTACGCATTTTCCCTTTATTCCCAGCTCTCACTTTCATAATTTCCAGTTTCGATCTGATCCCGTGCTGAATTTTCCGAAGCTGGTCCTCCAATCGTTCAAATTTAGGGCGAAGCTCCGAAAAGGGTATGTTTTTCGCCTCTTACTTTGGCTCTAGGGTTAACTTTGATGCTGTTAGTGGGATTGATTTGTATCTGGAATAAAAGAAATTGGGAATTTTGGGTGTTGATTGCGAGTTTAGGATTTGCTTGACTTCAGGATGCTTAGATTACACCTCAGGCTTTGTTTGTTCAAGTAGTCCATTAGAATTGTTGAAATTCAACTGGTTCTTTAGGTTTGGATTTTGAAGTTGTGGTTGTCCTTGTAAGCTTGTGAGCATTGGTTTGGTTTGCTTGAAGGGGAAACCGAGTGGTGATTAAGGTTTGATTTACAAATGGATAACTCGAAAAGCAGGCATAATGATAGTTTGGGTGTTAACAAGATGGGGAAAAATATAAGGAAGAGCCCTTTACATCAGCCCAATTTTGGCAATAACGCATCTAGACCACAGCCTCAGCCTCAGGTTTACAACATTAGCAAGAATGAATTTCGGGACATTGTTCAGCAGCTTACTGGATCACCCTCCCAGGATCATCCACCTAGACCTCCACACAATCCACCGAAGCCGCAGAGCATGCGATTGCAGAAAATTAGACCTCCCCCATTAACGCCGATCAATCGGCCTCGCATGCCACCGCCAATGCCAGTGCCTGCTGCAGCCCCTCCTCCAGTTCCTTACAATAATGCCATACCAAGACCTGCTCAGTTTGGACAACCGTTGCCTACTCCAGGGGATATGTGGTCTAATACGTCCGAGTCACCCATATCTGCTTACATGCGTTACCTTCAGAATTCAATAATGGATCCAGGTTCAAGAGGTAACCAAGTTCAGCCTCAACCACATCCGTATCCCCAACCTCAAGTACCAGGCAATGTCCAGCCTCAGCCCCCGCACTCGTCTGCTTTGCTTCCCAATCCTCCCATGACGATGTTCCCTTCTCCGAGATTTAATGGTCCTATTCCACCTATGAATGCTACTAACGCTCCAGTGCCCACTCTTCCTTCACCGCAAGCAAATGGCCCTCCTCCCCTTTTACCTTCTCCAACCTCTCAATTCCTCCTGCCTTCTCCAACTGGTTACATGAACTTACTATCACCTCGGTCACCTTATCCTCTTCTTTCACCTGGCATTCAATTCCCATCTCCGCTTACACCAAATTTTCCGTTCTCATCCATGGGGCAGTCGGGGATTTTAGGCCCTGGCCCACAACCTCCTCCGTCTCCGGGCCTTGTGTTTCCATTATCTCCTTCAGGCTTTTTTCCCATATCAAGTCCCAGGTGGAGAGACCACTAGTCTTCTGAAATTGTGTTACAAGTTTAATTGGGTTTGCTTCTTTCTAACTGGAGAGGTCCTAGGCTTGTTCGTTGGTATGTGATGTACAATCAAGTTGTAAGAGCTCTTTTTGGCTATCTGTAGTGTTCATTTCTCATTTCTTCTTTGTTTCTCTTTTGTTGACAACCCTAATGGTTGCAATCCTTTACTTTGACAAGTTTTACATTAGGCAATATATATTGAAGATCAGAAACTCAATTGAACAGTTGGACAGGAGCTGTAAGAGGGAAGACTGATCTGTAGCTCAAAAGAAAGTAGGATTACAGACAATATTTGTTGTGTATGTCATCTTCTTTTGTAATATAGTGAATTAAATCTCAAAGTTCATAGCTAATTTTATCTTTTTTATGTAAGGTGTTTAAAAGTACTGATCCTATGGTTATTACCATGTGATTTGCAGCAAATATATTTTACTTCAGGATTTTTTTTTTCCCTTATCTAAAGTAATTCCTTATTTAGTTTAACAGCATACTGGTGGATTTCTTAGCTGCCACTTTTGGGGGGAGAAAGGGGACCACTAAAGTCCCAAGAAAAAGAATTATACGGCTTATACACTGATTTTGTGTAGATTAATTCATCTATCTTCGGACTTGTTTTCTGGTAAAATAATTTTCCTTGGGATTAACTGTTTATGTTTTATTCATATGTTATTTAGTATAAAGGAGTACATTTTGAATTTGATTTCTGCTTTAAAGGCAGCAGGTAGAGAGAGAATAATATGGCTCTATTTGACTGAATAATTTTTGTTGTTCCTTCTTTTGTTAAGCATTTGGAAATCATTTGATCTAACTTAACCATCTTGACCATCACTTAGACTCTGCTTATGTTCTTATTCTTTTGCTTGTTAAATTAACTTTTGTTTACCTCCGCATTTGGTGCTCCCCTGGAAACTCATGGGCTTGTGCATAAAATCCAAAACATGAGCTTGAAGATATATTACTCAGTTCTGTGTGTCATGCATGCATTGAGAAGCATTAGGTAGTTTTTTGTGGCCTCAGATTTTTAAATGTTATTGGCTTCTTCTGTCTGATTTAGGAGGGCGTTATTTACTGTTGTCTTTTCACCATCATGCATTCCTTCTAGGACTGACTTTGACTATCTGCACTGCATTATTCATCTCCTGTCATTGGCAGAGCAGGGGTCATAAGATTTAAGTTGAATAAAATTGCCGACCTTCTAGATATTACTAATGAGATTTATGAATGTATTGTAACACATTCTTCTAGTCAAAGATTGAGAGGTAGAAGAGAACTTGAGATTCCAATCTTGGTGGATGTTAATGCGTGGTCTAAAATTAAGAGTCCTCCGTCTAAAATTAAGAGGGTTTGGATTCATGTATGAAATGATAAAAATGTAAAAAATTAGAGTATTAAAATAAATAATATCTTGAATATGATAATAAATTATTATAAAATTATATTAATATTTTTATTTTTAAACGAAAAATTATACAAGGATTTAATTCTTCTATAACAATAAAGTATTTCTTCATACAAGCTGATAATTTGATAATCCAAATCAAGTTTATGTATGGGTTTTTCTAGAGGATATCAAGTGACCGATAGCATGTTTGGATATTCAGTGGAAAAGTGTTTCTTGTTCATTTGCTTAAACCATGATTTAGAATTTTTTGCCAACAAATATGCAAACAACTGAATTATTTTAAATGATTTAGAAGAAAATGTCTTTTTTTACTGCAGTTGTGGAGATAGATAGTTTGGTATCGTGTTATGCAAATGGAACCATTTCAATGGACAATATCGTTGGCCCTCATCTGGCCAGTGGTTTTGTGTAAAAGGGAATTCCGTTTGTGTTTAATTATAAATATTATTTAAATACTTTAGTTTTTTTCTTCCTTGAGGATTAATTTGTTAAATGTAGGGAAACTGTCTGTCAAACATAATTTAAAACGTGACACGTCATTTGAAATCCATGTTAGCAATATATAAGAATTCAATACGACAACCACGCTACCAATATGATAATTTTTGTTATAATACTAACAAATATACTCCAATTTTCGTGGCAGTTTCTCTAAATATATAGTCTTTCTCAATCTCTGGCTCTTTCCCCTTCTCCCTTCTGACAACCATGGCAGCCACTGTGAGCTTCCTTTCCCATGTCAAGTGTTGCAACTTGCTTACTGTCTATACTGCCTTGTGCCTGCAACTCCAGTGTCGTACGACCAAGGCCTAATGCTCCTGCTTCGTTTGGAACGTACAAATTGCAAACAACAAAGAAAGTAAACCGAACAAACGAAGAAAGAGAATCGAGTTTGGCACGCTTGATTTGTGAAAACACAACCATTTCGTCAGTGTTTCTTGCTCAGAAGAACGAGAAAAAAAGTTACAAAATCCAAATTATGGTTTTTCTACGTCATTTTAATAAAATAGAATAAATAATAATAATAATAATAATCATAAATATATAGTAACTTAACTTAAATTAACATATAAATCTATATTTTCTCTTTAATAAAACAGCCATCATTTTTACTCTATTTCTCAATTTTTTTTTCATTTATTTATTTTTCTTTTGATGTCTTTTATCTATACCAATTAAAATCTTAATAATCTTCATTTTGACTTTATTTCTCACATTTTTTTTATTTATTTATTTTTTCCTCTTTGCCAAATAGAATTTTAAAGGTGCAAGAGCCAATATATTAAAAAAAAAAAAAGAGTCTATAGTTAAGATAGGTCAGTCTATCAAACAAAATCACTTAAAATGGAAGAGAAATGTGGGGAATAAAAGTATAATGACAATTTGAGAAACAGGGTATCGACGTAGATGTTGGGAAATCGTTCCAATATAACAATGAAATTCAACTTTTATGGCCCCGCAAAAACGAAAGAGCCCTGTTTTAGAATCAAATAAGAAATATATTTTCATTACAAAATTAATTTGGAGAATTGGATAAGAACTAAATTGATTTTTGGAGATGTGAATTGAAGTGGTGGTAGGTTAACAATAACAAGAAGAACAAAATTCGGGCGAAATGGATGGCCCATAGTTGCCTACTTCTCAATTTGCAAAATAATCTCTTTTCCTCGTTAGTCAGAACTCCCAACATATGGGGCCCCTTACATTACTTGTTAACATAAATATATATAAGAAGTCATTTTTTATAAGAAGTCATTTTTATTTTAATATGAAGAGAGTCGTATCTCTTTCAATTCCTCACATATAACAGATATTCCATAGTCGCTTTATTTAATATTAATAAATTTAAACTAAAAATTTAATAGCATATAAAAGCATTGCACTTCCACACTTGTAACAAGAGCATCTACAAACAGCAAAGAAATATGATTGGAGTTGATTTCATTGGGTTTAGGGGGCCTTTAGTTGTGATTGTGGCCACTACTTTTTGGGTGAGAGAAGAAGCAATAATGAAGTAGGAAAATGAAAAGAAAAAGAAAATGGGTTGAATTTGGAGTAAAAAGGATTTGTTGAGAGACACATAGGCATTTAAGCATTTCCCTCCTCTAAAGTTAGCGTTTGTAGCTTCTATTCCTCCTTGTCGCTCTCTATCTCCAAGTTTTCCCCTTTCTTTAGAATCAACTTGCCAACTTGTATCCACCCCAACACCCCAATTGGATCATCTCAAAAGCCCCCATGTCGCTTTCTTTCCCTTTCTTATCGTGGGGCTTAGTGCTCTTCACGTGCTATGTTTACTTCAAAGGATCAAATATTCTCTACACATCTTTTCCATTTCCTATCCTTAACAATTCTTAAACATTTTCTTTTCTTATTCTATCAAAACCTTTTATGACATACCCATTCATTATATCTTCCTCAATACTCAAACAAACAATATCTTACATGTATTCATGCTGTGGAACTTCAATTTTCAAGACAAAATAAAAGAGACCATCTTTTATCATATAAACAAAGTCTACAATTTTTTTAAAGTCGTACACTTTTTCTTTCCTTTCCTTCAATCCATAATAAGATGCTTACATATTTTTTGTTTTGTATTATGAAAACATCGAGGCCATGAGTATAAAGTTGATAATGAGCGTGGTGTAAAAGAAAATGTTAGAATTGGGAGATTTGTGTGGTGTGGTCCAATTAATTGCGTGGGCATGATTTAAAGGTAAATGTGAGTAAATGGATGAATAAATTGAGTGTTGGATAATTGGATATACCTGCCAAAAGGGTTGGTCTGGTCTCACACTTAGGACACTACATTCAGTATTTATATCTACGTAACTTTCCCAGGAAAATAACTGTTCAAGTCCTCATCCTCTACTATTTCAAAAGTTTCTTTTCAGCTCCACTAGACCCACAACACACCAAAATTTTATTTTTCTCTCCCAACCCAACTCACTACACTTATTCCCATTTATTTTGTAACAAAATAAAATTTTAAATAATTTAGACTGTTATTTTATTAAAAATATTCTTCTATACAATAAAATTTATTATTTGTTATGATGGTCACCTTACAATTTATATAAATATTAAATTATTATTTGATTTATTTACTACATGTTTCTCCCCCACAAATAGGGTTCTGTCGTTTCAATCCCAAAATTCTGAAAACCACCGCTATAAAGAGGGAGAGTAAGGTCGTCAAAAAAAGAAAAGAAAAAGAGAGAGGAAGATCTGCCCCACTTTGCTGCATCTTCCATGCTATTACTTTTTAATATATTGTTCTTTATTGAAATTTATTACTATAATAGTGAAAATTCATATCTAAATTTTTTATATTATTAATATTTTAAAAAAATATAATTTTAATAAATATAATATTTTTCTCTCTTCACTTTTATGTTTTACACATTCGTTTCTATTTCTATCACATCTTTCTTCTCATTCCTCTTTCTTCAAAAATACATAATAATATTATAGGAACTGTTTATAATATATATCACATCTTTTCCCTCTTTATCAATAACATATCATAATAAATAATTATAAACTATAACATCAAAAGCGATTATAACAAGAAAAATTCTCTTTACAAGCATAGTCATTTTTTATATTATGAATTAATTTTTCTCTCCACTTTTTAAATATATTTATGTTCTTTGTCCATTCATTATATTGTAACTCTTCTTTTTACTAGTTTTTTAAATATATATCATAATTATTATTTTTCTGTATATTATTTCTCTTTTTTATAAATAATTACAAATAATAATATATTTCATGTTATTTGTTTTTTCTATCTGGTGGCACTAAAACAATTAAAAAAAAATCCCCTTATATAAAATATAGATATATTAGAAATACGAATATATTATATGTTAATCCCTTTTTTCTCTCTTACACTAAAACAGTTAAAAAAAATGTTTATGTATTCATACTTTTATACTATCAATTTTTGAAATAATTATTTTTTTAATTTTTTAATATAGATTACACTATTTTTCTATCCATTTTTATATATGTTATGCGTTCTTTTTTTATTATTGTTTTCTTCAAATGTATAAATATTTTTTTGTAATTTTTTATTTTATTCTTTATTGTCTCTGCTTTTTCTAGTCTTTATTAATATATATATATATATATATATATATATATATATATATATATATATATATATTCTGTTCTCTCTATGGTAAAAAAAAACGGTTAAAAAAAGGGAAAAATAAAAATATAAATAATCATCTGATATGATGGTGGGATATGGAATGCGACAAGAACAACCGTGCAAGCAATGGAAAATGAGAATTGTCTAAACTTTTTCTTAACATTTTTTTTTTCCATTGAATTGCGTTCTCCACTTATTCGATGATTAAAAGTAATTTTATAACGAACACATTATTAAGAAAAGTGAGATAATATTTTTGTGGTGGAGCAATAAAACATGTTTTGTGACAAATAATTGACTAGGAAGGGAATTGGAAAGAAAAGAAGTTTGAATGGATTTGTACACTTTCACGCAAGTTGATCCTCTACATTGATAAAATTAACATTTTCGAAGCAATCGTTAAAGGACTCTTCCTTTCTATGTAGCATTCCCCAAAACTGTGGAATAAAAAGGAATCTATATAGTTTATTCTTTCGTGAGTTTTTCTCACAGCAAACCACATATTCTTTGCCAAACTATCGTGACAAATCCATTCTGATACGTTCAAATCTGGAAAATGAGTAAACTAACATGGAGATGTTGACAGTATTAGTATCTGGTAACAGTGACCTAAAGGTAAAGGTGCCTCAACAATACTGGTATGTGTGTAAACAATAAATATGATCATGAAAAGTAAAACCCTACGTTGCCAGCTTATAGATGCTGGAAAACCCCTGCACATACAAATAGGTTTAGAAAAATAAAAAGGGACAGCAACACATTGAACGAGGCATCAAAATCATGATAACAGCGACCAGACCTTACAGGTGAAGCATGGGCCATGGCATTGTGAATGAACGGTTAAGAAAAATGCAACTAAGTTGAAGATTTGGATTATTGGAAATGCCCTCAATTGGCCTCCAAGAGCCACCTTTTCTACCCCAACCTGCAAATGGAAGAAGCAAAACTAGACTACACAATTTTTTCTACTTTTCTTTCAAATTTCCCTTTTCCACCCTGCAATTCAGATAAAGATGCTCCACACACACTAGCTACCATCTGACACAATAATTTATTCCCAATTTTTCTCACTACCCACTACCTACTGCTGCTGCTACTACTACTACTGCTATCTCTGAAACAACAAGACTATTATGAATTCTGAAACCTCCCTGGTAGGTGGTTTCACCTTCTGATTATACCTTCCTAATGGTTGCAGCATCTCGTCCATCTACCTTTCCAACAACACATTGGGTATCAAAATGGTTGATTTAGTTGTTTGAGTTGTGAAACCATGGTCATCCCATTTCTATCTTAACTCTACATTTCGTTAAATTCAAACACCGTGCGTCTTGGCCGTTTGGTGAACCTTACACACATGGTTTCTGCTCCTATCTAACTTCTTATTAAAGTGAAAGAAGATTAGATACTAAATTCATATAACCAAGGAAAGTTCAAATCAAAACCCATTACATTTCCAAAAAGAGAGTCCATTCTCACTGTATGCACCAAACTTTAATAATGAGAGAGAAAACAAAATACAGAATCAGATGCATAGTAATGGGATGGAAAAAAAAAACAAGTTATACAAGTTATTGCAAAAATATAAATAATATATGACTCAATCATTTTACTATCTTTTATCGTTTATATTAAAATAAATAGATTTTTTTATCTTAATCAATTATTAGTTTTCTATTATATTCTTAAGTATATTTAATGTTTCATCCACTTATTTGCTATGAAAACAGATGTATTTATTGAACTACTAACAGCATAAGTCATGTTTACTTAAATAAATTAATTTTATTGATATTTGATCTATATTATTCTCATTTAGCTATTTTTATTGTTATTGATGAATTAAATATCTGTTTTTATATTTCGGACTGCAGTACCATTTTATCTCCACTTTTGTTTCTAACGTGGGTCTCACTTTAAGTGGTTGCTATGGCAATATAATTCAATTACAAATAAAGTCTTATATTGGAAATGTAAAATTTGGTGTAAGATTTTTAAGGATTTTGAACTCTTTTGTGAATGTGAGCTACCTAATATTCTTATCAAATTGAAGAATATAACTCCTTCATGCAACGTGCATTGTTCTTAAAGATTATACCAACTTGTATCCTTTAATGTTTATCAGAATTAGGCCTACATCATGTTATTACAAATTTGTTACTAATATACTTTTAATATCATTTTTTTAAAATACACATTTTTATTGTTAATTAAAATTTACTAACAAATGAATTTATTTTTTAGTTAATAAGTTTTAATTATATTTTCACATATTTTATTACATCTTATCCAACATTAATATGCAGAAATAAATATATTTAAATCATTTGACCAATAACTTTCCTATTTTGGATTGTAATCATAAGCTAACCCAGTTCATCAGTGCAGAAAATTTTTAATTATAAGATAAAATGAATTTAACTAACTTTATCTATCAGTCAAGTGGGTTGATGATGAATTAATGTTTTTTAATATTTAATAATTATAAATTTTTTTCTATTTATATATGAGTATTGAGGTAAAAAAATATTTTATTGAATTAACTCAACTAATTTATAAAATATTAATATATGAGTATTGAGGTAAAAAAATATTTTATTGAATTAACTCAACTAATTTATAAAATATTAATATATATATATATATATATATATATATATATATATATATATATTTAAATGAGTCAATCTACTAACTTATATTAAATTAAGTTATAAAATTTTTACCAAAAAAAAAATAAATCAAATTAAACTAATTGATTTTTAAAATAATTCGTGGTCAACCAGCATTTTAGTTAACTTTAACACCCTACATGTTAATATAAAATAAATAATTATAATTGAGACCCTACGTGTTAATATAAAATAAATATCCTGTATCTTAGCTATTTTATGATATTAAAATTAATAAAATGACAAATTTATTATTAGTAAAACGGTGGATGAAATAGTAATAATAATAACAGTAAAAAATTAATTTAATCGAATTTTATTTCCTATTTTTAATTTGATAAATAAATATTTTTTTAATCGATATTGTCTCTCCCATAATGAGAGTCCCATTAAATCAACAATTTGATGGGGCAAATAATTTAAACAAATAAATAAAATTTATATGGGAGATTATGTTAGTTTTTCATATTGCTTATGCACATTGCCCATATCTACACAATCTCTAAGACATCATAAAATTTAATTATTGTTTTTGCATGCTAGATTAATAAAGATCCAATTTTAAATGATAGTATTCAAGATAAAAGATGTTCAATTAAAAATACGAGCATAAATTGAGAAATATAAAAAAAGAAAACAACTAAAATTGCATTTAAATTTCATTTGATAGAAAAATAACAATAAAAAATATAACAAATGTGAATAAAAAATGAGTAAAATTTGTTCTTGCTTAAGTAAAAAGAGATAAATGAATTAAAAGATGACATTATTATTATTAATAATTTTATTTATTTATATTATTATTATATCTTTTTACAATAATAATAATAATAATATAACTATTATTATTATTGAAAACAACCATAACATATTATAAATAATCTATAAACCACTATGGAGTCCTGTAATTGATAATAAACATAAAAAACTCATATTTAAACTAAAATTTTGATAAGATAAACCACAACACAATAGTCAATTATATTTGCATTTCATTACATAAAATTTATCTATCACACAGTTTGTTTTTTCTTTTTTCTTTTTTCACGCACCACTCCATCAAACTCTCATTAGTCCTCCGTTTGTATATGCATCTATGTTTCCTTCGTCTAATCCAAACCAGCTTTACAGTGATGTTCGAAGGATAAGACGAAGAAGGCGTTGAACGTAAAAGACAAAAAGAATTGATTCTACCATTTGGTGACACCTTGAGTGTGGGAGGGGAAGAGACTCTTTTAACTATGCCCTCCCGCTACTTTTTATTCCCATTTCTGCTTCTCAACCCCTAATTTGACTTTCTTTATGAAAAATCAAACCACGCAAATCAAAACATTTTGATGATTGAAGTATTATACGGTGTAATAAGTGCATTTCTACCACCTTCCCAACAAATTTTAACAGTAATTTGATTTGTGCAATAATACCATAGGCATCTTCAATCTAGAGAGGGAAGCATCTTCTTTAAGTAGGTTTGCACTCATGAGAGAAAAAGGAGAAGATATATATGTATGTACACGGAATCAAATCCAGGGGAAAAGCAAATGATGATATTCACAGAAGGGTTAAAGGACACCATGAAGAACAAACATCACAAGTCAACATTTCCTGTACACCTGCATTCACCAAAATGCCCTCACCCATTGTAATAACAAAATTCAACGGACCACCAAGGAGGACATGCTAGCTAGCGCCAAACAAAATAATCAAAAACAGAAAACGAGAGTCTCACCCGAAAAATAAAAAAAAGGAAAACAAAATGAATTTCGAAAGGGTAAAAAAAAAAGAGGCAGAAAGAAAAGAAAATAAAAAGAGAGAAAAACTTGTTCTTCTCCTTTTATGAATTGGTGAGGGAAGGAGCGATTGTTTCAAATTCCAATCCCTTCTTTTGTTTAATGTTTTTTGGTTTTATTGAGATTTGAGGAGTGGTGGTGTGCTTCACCGCGAGTGTGGCTTACAGTCACCGTCGCGGTTGGTTCCTTCGGTGACGGTGGCGAGCTTCTGGAGGTTCAGCTTGACGACGGTGTCGGCAAAGAGACGCGTGTCCTCTTCGGTGTTGCCGTCGGGGACGTCGACGACGTAGGATTCGAGGACGACGGTGTAGATCTTGGCGTCTGCGTCGGAGTCGAAGGCGTGGACTGTGGTGACGGAGCGGTAGTTGCGGAGGCGGTGTTCCCCGCCGATGATGCTGAAACCGGTGACGCGGCGGTCATCATCTAGGATGTCGAGTCGCTCGGTGCTAGTTGCAGCGGGGAGGCCGGAGATGACATTGACGTCGCGTGTGACGCCGACGGCCATGTGAAAGGGGTCTTTGACGGCGCAGCTCTTGATGAAGTGCTTGTAGGTCTGTGGCTTGTCGAAGCGGCGAACAACGGACCATACGGCGTCAGGAGGCGCCTGGATTCGTTGGGCGAGGAGGGAGGAGCATTGGCCGGGGCCGACGAGGTAGGTATGGTGCTCCGTGACGGACGGGACGAGGGAGGCGAACTCGTGCGGGGTAAGACCGGAAGTAGGGTTGAGGTGATGATTGGTCGGGATGAGGTGGTTGTCGTCGGAGTCTGGCTCCGATGTGGAGGCGGAGCTCTCGCCTTTCTCCATGGCGGGGAGAGAGAAAGTGAGAGAGCAAGAAAAGGAGAGTGCGTAAGGGACGCTGTTGGCGCTTGCTGAACGAGATTTTGAGGAACGGTTAGGGGTATTCCTGGGAATTCCTCTGAAACTCTGTTTTCTTTCCCTGCCACTTGCAAAAATATATACAACTCCACCAAAATTCATTGCTTGTTTAAACTTCATCTTACACTTAAAATAAAAAAATAAAAAATAAAGTTCAAACTAGTGAAGAAAATATGGGGCTTAAGTTTAAACTAAGGTTAAAGAATTAAAAAAAATATTCAAATTATAAAAATATATTCCTTTTAATTTCTTATATAATTAATGCTGATTAGTACTTGCCGAAGTTTAATTATAAAAAATAAAATAAAAAGTCAGACAAAGTTTATTCATTTGTCAAAAAATTGAACACGAATTCAAAATTGGTACTAATGTGAGAATTATATTATTGAATAATTTGAAAGTATTTTAATAGCATTTGTGAGACTTTGTAACTTTAGTAAGCTTTTAAATTTCAACCCACTTTTAAAATTCATTTTAGTGAAATGAAATAATAATAATAAAAAGTATAACATACAAATTATGAGAGATAGTTTTGAAATAAAAAAGTTTCTAATTTCTGATTTATTTGATTATTATTTTTATTATTAAAAAATGACTAATCATATTACTAAAAAAAATATTAATCATCAATAAAGTTAATGAATGATTTTACTGTATATCGTGTTTGGATTGAACAGTACAATTATAAGGTAAAAAATAATAATAAAAAGTAAAATTGTTTGAATTACTAAATAAAATAAAAAAAAGTGTAAAACAAAATAAATTAATTTATTATTTAAATACTATTTAAAATTATAATAAAAAAATAATATATATCATTAAAAATTATATTAAATAAATATTCATTTTTATTTCATTATAATTTAAAATAAATAGTGACAGAGAAAGTTGTATTTTGAAATTAGCACTTTTCCTTTAAGATCTCACAAAAACTCGTAATCACATATGCATTCTAGTAAAATAAAAATTTAGACTAAAGTAATTAAAAATAAATTTAGGTTTGCATTTATCTATTGATTAAAGAAAAAATAATTAAATATTAAAAAATTTATAAATAGATAAATTAGTATATATCTTTAATAAGTAGAATCACTACAAAATATCTATGGCCAAAAATTTGTATTAACTACGTAGGTAATTATATTTATTAGAATAAGAAAATTGTCACATAAATGAATCAAATAAGGTACTTTAGAGTTGGAAGGCGATACTCCAACTACTAAGCTATTAGGATATTCTATTAATAACTTACAAATAAATTATATTTATATTTATCTTTGTAAATATATAAATATAAAATATACAAATATCAAATATATAAATATCAAATATATAAATATATAAATATCAAATATATAAATATAAAATATAAAATATATTAATACAAATATATTTATATTTTGATATATTTATATATTTACATATTTATATATTTAATGGTTGGAGTATCGGTTTTGAACTCTAAGATATTAGGTTCAAATCTTGCGAGTTACAATTTTTTTAATTTGATATAATTTACCAATGAACGAGTAATTCAGTCGGTAATTACCTACGAAATTACCCACGAACGACATTACCTACGAATAATATCCGTAGGTAATAGATAACTTATTTTAATTTTATATAATTTATCTACGGAATTATCCGTAGGTACCTACTAATAGTAATTTGGATGATATTACCTATAAAAAATATCCGTAGGTAATGAATAATTACATACGGATAAAATTTCGTAGGTAATATTTATATATAATGTATAATTTATCTACGAATTTTTATTCGTAGGTAATATTTATATATAATATACAATTTATCTACGAATTTTTATTCGTAGGTGATAGTTTGTAGATAATAGGGTTTTTTTAGTGAATTGTACTCATTAGAAATGAGTATTTAAGTAGGTACCAATCTTATATTTGTGATGTATTATATGATGAATAAAGTGAAAGATATTTAAAAAGTTAAAATTTAGAAGAACCAATTACAATATAAATGAGATTAAATATTATTGATATAAAAAATACGTTGTTTTGTATATTATTATATAATTTATTGTTAAATATGATTTTTCATTAAATGTTGGGTGTTTTTTTTACACTTAAATGTGTTTAAAATTTATATTTAATTGAGATAAAAAGTTTACAGTTTGTAAAACGCCATCTAAAGTTCCTAAGTTTTGTAAGGATAAACATAGTTTGTGAAAAAAAAAATATACACAAACTATAAAGACACTTATCACCCCCAAAATTTTCAAATTATATAAGAATATAAATATTTTTTTGGCCCCACCCACTAAAAAGAAAATATTAGTCCATGTCTTGAAACCATTCTACCTCCATCACTGATTTACAGTGGAGATTAAGGTATAGTCTATTTTCTATTTGAAACAGAATATAATTTTTTAAACCATTAAGGTATAGTCTATTTTCTGTTTGAACATCTATTTGGATTAATTCTAATAAAAAAAACACCTTAAAATATACAATATATGGGTTAGTTATAAACTGAGTCTTACATATTATTATTGTAAACTTTATATTGACTGTGCTCTATATTATTTCTTTTGATATCTGTTTTATGTGAATGGTGTTGATCTGTTCAGCTAATTTGCATGCACAGAAACAATTGCATATATTCACCTAATCAATTTAGTAAACACTAGTTGCATAGCATCGACAAATAATATTTTTTATGATTTGATGTTCAAAAACATGAAAAGGGTCACATAGAGAATGAGAAACAGAATCCCCAAAGAATGTATGTGTTTATATATAATCAACAATTATTTAACTTAATAACAAACTATAATTAGAACAACTAATCATTTTTAACTTAATACTACCACTTGCTTTTAAGAAATAATAATTGACATAATAAAGACTTTTAATCTTTTATGATATTTTAGCTGTAGGGTAATTTTAATATATTATTTGTAGTCATAACTTATCATCTAATGGCGTCACTTATTATTATTATTTGTTAACTTCAACAATTCATGTATTATTACTAATGGAAAATATATCGTTCTGAAATATTTTAATAGTATTATTATTCAATTACAAATAGTTTTGTATATTAAATTTATTAATTTTTATAATATTTATCTTAAAATATTTATATGATAATTATGTATATGAAACTTGTTGAAAAATAAGACAATACATTATTAAATGATAATGTATTTTTTATCTTAATTTTTGTTGGGGTTGAATGGCAATATATTTTTTTATTGTTAAATCTCATATTTTCAAAGCATCTACCATACCTAACTGTTTAAGTGGTTACTTATTTTAATTTTGCAGATATTATAGAATAATAACATAGATGGACAGATTTTACATATAAAACCTCTAACATGTTCAAGTCATTAAAATAATTTGTTTAATTTAATTTGGTAAGTTTGATAATTGACTTCATTAATAGTTAAAACATGTTAGGGTTTAGGGATTAAGCATTGTTTAAAGTAATTATGCTTATAATAAACCATGTTAGATAATTTGTTCGAACGATAATTTTTGTGAAATAATCGTTCTTAACTTTATAAATATTCAGTAGTCCGGTTGTAAAAACAACTTAAAATAGTCTTATATATATAACCACATGAATCGATGCATCGTGATTTTGTTATCATAATTATTTCTATAAACAGCTATATAGTTATTTACATAAAAAAATACGAAAAAGAATTTAATTTTGTTTTTTTTTATCTTTTTATTTTCTAAACAAGAGATAAAAACATGTAAGAAGAAAATATAAAACAATCTAATGATAATATATCAAAAAGTTATGTCTATTTTATTGAGTACATATTCAGATTGTTACGATTTTCGTGTGGATTGAAACTTATTTATGAAGAAATTTCGTTATCTTATAAATGTTATAGTTATAGAAGCTGTTAATATATATATATATATATATATATATATATATATATATATATATATATATATATATATATATAACATGTTTAACAAGCTTATTATTTTTAAAATTAACCATATATACTCATTCGTACATAGTTAGAAAACTTAGAGTACAGCAAGTCAACCAATATAAATAATAGTAACATATACATATACTAGTAATTATAATTCTGAAGCACATGCAGGTGATCACTAAAGTCAATTCTAATAACAGTGTGCAGCTTGGAATAGCATGAATATATGTACTTTAACATACGAATAAATTAAATTAAATGAAACTTACAACAATATTTTTGTCTAGAATAAAAATATTTTTGTCTAGAATAAATTAAATGAAAATAATGTACTGGATCTAGCAGAAAATGAAGCAAGGTAGTGTGAGTAGTTTGATTGATTTAAATTTGATTTGTTTGGGTTGCAATCTCCATGAGCCATTTATAACAAAGAGAAAAAGAATATTAAAGATGGTAGTACCCCACATTCTGATTTTACAAAGCATTCATGTCATGGTTTCGGTTCGGGTCAAAGGGTGCAATTAAGATACCCTCACAAAGAGTTTAATAAAATATGCGGTGTTACGCCGCGAAGTATCCAAAGTCACAAGTTCCTGTTCTTGTAAATGCATGATTAACTGTTTTTGTAGTTCATATTCATTTATTTACGTGAATTAATCACTACTTAATGCCTTAACCTCATTCAAATTGTGGCTGTAACATCTGATGAAAGACAAATAGCTTGAAAAGAAGTATAATAATATTTTATTTTTAGTTGAATACCTTGCTTAATATAGGGCCATAATTAATTATATTTGGTCCCTATGAATGTGTAAGAGATTAATGGCCCACAAGACCTAGCCAAGATGCTTTGGGTTTCCAACTCCACACAGTGCTGTGTTATGTCAACAGCAACTTGCAGAAGCAACCTACTTCTCCAACCATTTTATGTGTTTAAATTCATGGATTACATCACAAATTCACTATAAATAATATCAATAATAACTATTCTTCCTACAATAATTTCTAAATATCTATTTCTTTTTCTTGTATCTCTTTTCATTATATCACCTACTTCAATACATATCTTGCGTATATAAAAGGGTGATGTATAACATCACTCAACTATAATAAATATACCAAAAATTGATAAAATATAGTAGTAGCTATAATCATGAATTTGACTATATCATGCATCCGAAATCACAGGGAAATTAAGTCGATGCAGTCATTCTCAAACCGTGTTATCTGAAAGCAATTAGATTAATGTGGTAGAGCACAATTCTAGAAGAATCTGATGATAATAGTTTATGGGAAAATAAAAGGTGAAATCATTAAGGGAATATATTATTGGATGAATTGATGAGTTCAGGATTATGATTGTTGTCTCTATTAATAATGGTGCTAAAATAATAAAACTTTGTGGACAGAGAAATAATTTCATTGGTTGGTGGGATCCAAAAGATAGCTAAAGTCTAAAAGATGATGGTCATTGCCCAACTAGAAACTGTCTCCTTGCAGCCACCATTTGATTCCATTATTATCAACTGAAGTCTTTGCTTTTAAAAATTTATTTTGCTTACCGATAATTACACTAAAAACTTTGCTATTGCTTTTTATATGAGTTAATCTTAATTAGACAGATTATACTTCTTAACATACTTCAAAATTGATAAAAGAATTTGAAGCTGGCGCGGTTTCCTCTTTCAAACGTTAAAATGGATGTCCGCATCATTCAACAGATGTTTCTGCTTTTGTTACTTACAGTTGTGTAGTTTAAAATTCGGTGTAAAAATAATTTTTTTAATTTTAAATAATTTTATGTGTTTTTAAACAATTTAGAGATTTATAATAATTTTTTTTTATATTTTTAAATAATTCTTAATAACAACTCCCTTTACCTCTAATATATAATTATTATGTAACATGCAAATAATGACATTTATTACTATAAAATAAAAATTCAATACTTAATTAAGTTCACATGCTTACGAAAATATTTTCTAGAAATCAAATCCTAAATGGATAGAAAAAACTAATGTCAAAATTTTCACCCCCTCAGCAAATAAAAGTATTTTCCTTAGAAAGAGATTTTTATTCTTTATAATATTTCTATGTGGTTTGACGCATGATGACTTTTAATAAAGAATATTTGTACTATTTTAAATAAAATTACATTGTGTTTGGCATGATTAAATAGGAAATTGATTTCCTCATAATGAGAATTGTGTTTATATCTTTTTCTTCAAGCAATGTTTATAAAGAAAGAATTCGACTTTTTTACAAGATTAAATTATGTTACAAAATTAGTCTCTAAGGAAGTAAATAAATACGAAAGAGTTGTTTTCTTTTCTATTGGTTAAAAGGTTCAACAAAGAAAAAAAAAAGGCATTGGAAGCATTGATTTGAAGTATTCGTGCTAAACGTTTGTACGATTTAGCAAGTCCATGAAATTAAATAAAATTTCAACGCGAGAATATCCATTTGATTTAAATTGCAAGATTCACGAATCATCATAACCACAAATAAGTGTTTAGCATTTTAAATTTGGTGGTCATGAAAAGATCTCCTAGCCGGCAAGTAAGAGCAGGCCCTGCTGTTCACCATGTTCCTTTTCAATTGATTCCATCAAAAGTAATAAGCACAACGCCAGATATTCCACTTTTTAATTTTATTTTATACATATGCCTTTGTTAAGCCATGATCTTCAAATTCTCTTTAGACCTAGCATTAATGGGTGTATCTGATTCCAACACCTTTAACATATTATTTTTCAGTTAACTTTCTTCTGCACTTCAGAGTATAGAGCATAACTACACACATCCAATACGAACCTAGTTAAAATAAAAAAATTATGCAGTGCTAGGTGCAACTTTTTGGCTCTATGTGATAGTTAAAATAATATTTTAAACTATTAGCAAATTAAACAAAATATTAGCATGTCAATTTTGTTGCTTATTCCCTAAACAAACACAACCTTAGTTTTGTTATATCAGATGAAGATTTAAAAACTCTAGGTCTGTCCAAACGAGGAGATCGATGGCATCTCTCTTCCAATAATTCGACTTAAAAAATTAGAAATATTGGGTTGTCTGAATCTGGAACCGAATGTAGTGTTATTACAGTTCATGATTTCACATGGCCTTCTGTGCTTTAAAAACTGTGATGGTTAGGTTCATTTCCCTAAGAAATCCAATGCCAAACAACTGCACTGTGACTATGCTTTTTCAAGAATCATACACCTCAGAAATAATTTTGTTCTTTAGTATGAGTTGGTGTAATCTCAAATATGTGTAAGGAAAATCTATTGAAAGATATTAGTTCTTTATTTCAAAAAATTATCCTAGATTTACCCCATACTATTACTTTATCTACCAAATCTAACCTCATACTTTATTATTTCTAGCGTAAAGTAATGTACCAGAAAGTTCAAACCGAACCCATAAATGTCTATTAATGCTCAGGATAGCGTCAAAAGAAGTAAAAGAAATTAACCAATGTTATGAGGATCAGCAACCTAGCAGTTTTAAATGTGGCCAACTAATGGGAGATACTCGTTTCTTCTCAACTTTGCATTTCTTTTCATTCTTCTTATGTCTATTCTTCACCACCTGCACCTGCTGTTTAGGAAGAGGGCACGAGTCTCGCTTCTCGCTCTCACATTTTTCCTGTACCAATATACATGTCAAACATAGATTCTGGTACTAATTCCAATAGCATAGGATTCTGTAACCAGCAGAAGCACCTTGTAAATGGTTTCTTTGCTGCATAAGTCGTTGCACTAGTATAAAACAAAAAGGCTATATAGTACACATTATCTATGATGTTGCTAGCAATTTATTTGTATTTTCCTATCATAAATTAATTGGCTCTTTGGATTTTACTGTTTAGTTTATTTCGATACAACCAAAAAGGGAAAAGATAACATACTAGAAGCTCCATTGGTTCATGATGCGCATGATTTCTTTCTTTTATCTGTACTAACACACACACACACTCACTGTTTCGCAAACAGATGCACAATATGTGGTCCTTGCAAATTTTCATGTTAGGTATGCCTTGTAAAAAGTTCAAACCGAGTATTCTAATCTAACTGGAATTGGGTACATTTTTTTATAGGTGAAAGAGATATAATGATAATAATTTTTTTTTTCTCATATCTAGAGGTTACCATTTTATTCTTTATTCTTGCTATAACAGGACAGTATTATAGTCTAGGGCAGAAACTCCAAGCACTGATTAAGAAGAAAAAATATGAAATTTAGTTGAATTGACTAGTGGATGGTGACAGTTAATAAAATATTTACAGGGGTTAGTTGTAAACCTGTAAACTATAATGTAAACATTTCACTCTTCCACAATCAATATATTGGAAATAATTCACTGCTACTGTTTTTTTCTTTCTTACCTGCGATATTTCAGTTGTCGTAATAGGCATTAATCCTCTCTCAACATTATTTGGGAGATTGTTGAAAGTTGGAAATGAGTAACATATTTCTGTCTTGGAACTCTGGCTGGACGGAAACTCCCCAGAAGTTTGTGTGGCATCACGGGACAAAGGGAGAGAGTTGCCACTCGAATCAATCTCTACGTAAAGCTAGAGGAACACATTGTTGGATTAGCTTACATGGTAGATTATATGTTTACACTTACAATAAATTCATGTAATGACAGTGTTGATGCACAAAACAGTGATGATTCTCACCAACATAAATGTGAGTATGTGTGACTATGATATAAGTTGTTAAATATTGTTAGTCAGTAATTGATGCTTGTCAAAGGGGGTTTAGCGGTTTAAGTTAATTGTTTTCATGAGGTACTTGAAATTGATTCCCTAGATAATAAACCTTTTTTTGCAAGTGGTTTATGTCATCACAGTTGTGGCTTCCAATTTCTATGAACAGAATGTAAATAGCTTGAATGCTATGGTTGAATGGCAAATAAAATAGTTTATCGATTTTTGTAATGATTATTTTAAAAGTTATAGCTATCATAATCTTTGATTACACAGAAAATGCATACAAATTAATCTAAAAAATATGACAGATTCAAATATTAGACAAAATGGTTAGGAGCAAAAGTAGACCGAATTTATTGTTTAACCTTAAAAAGTCTGTGTTCGAGAGTGGCAACACGATCCATCAATGTTCCTTTAAAGAAATCCTCTTTGGTGGACAAATCCAAGAATTGTTTGGCTTTGTCAGCAGGGACATTGCTGCCACATCTTTGTTTTCTTTCTAAATATTTCATCTGTCATAACAATCATAGATAGAAATGTTTAAGAAAAAACTGATGCTCACATAGATAGGAGCATAAATAAATTTTTGAAAGGATAAGAATGATATGCAAGAAAATTGATGCGATTGTGACAAATAAGAAGGGGGTTTGGGGGAGTGAAAAGCTCACAACGAACTCCAAATGATCCAGCCTAGCAATCAGAGAGATGGAGGCGTGATGAGAGGGTAGTTTGGGGTCATCCATTTTTGGCACTTTGAGAGTGTCTTGTGTTTTGAATAAAACAAAATTTATGTGTTATATAGTATCATCATGTACAATTGCTCTCACTCAACAAAGAAATAACAAACGAGAGAGAAAATAAACTGAGCTTTCAACTGCGACATTTCATCGTTCCCACCTTTTCCTAAGACCCAGACTTTATTTTAGGACACCTCGCTGGTCATATTAGTTTGTTATGTTACGTGGCACTCACCATTTCTCTCACATAGTTTTTCCCACTCCTCCTAACATGTATAGTAATTCGTTACCCTGAATAGAACAACGTAGGAATAGGATACGACTAGGTCTTATGAATGAAATAAACTAAAAGGAATATTTTCTTTTACAAATTTGAAGGTTGATTTTCAGGGGTTTTTCTTTTCATGATTTTTTGCATTAAATTTGTAAATTTTGGGGTTCTTTTGGCTTTTTTTTTTTACAATCTTTTGTTGTTTAAAAGATTACATGGTGTAAATATGAATTCATGATATTTAGTTCAACAAAGATAACTTTTTTTTTTAAACGATATGACCATACTTCAAATATCAGATTATTTAAAGATTCAAATATCCATACTTCATCTTGATTTATTATATTTTTTCAGAAAATAATTAACAATTTTTTCAGAAAATAAAGAGGATCTTTATTTGTGTGTTAGTGTAAGAATTCATCTTGATTTTTAAGTGGGATATACAGTAATAAAACGACTCTTTTTAAGTGGACTCACATTATCAAATCAACTTTTTTTAATTTTTACAAATTTTGTAGATTTTTTTATAAATAACTCATTATTCAATTATCACTTTTGATTTTAATGGGACCTACTATGAATATTTCTTTATGATTTGTTGTATTATTTGAGTTGTTGAATTCCATTAATAAGAACCGCGAGTAAAAACTAAAAAAAAATTGGAGAAAAACAACTCTTAAAAATATTATAAATATAGAGAGTTTAACTTTTCAAAATTGTTACTACCATCCAGAATTACTCCAATAACAATTTCTTATAATCACCTTGTTTATAAGAAATAGAGGCATAAGAAACTCCCGTTAATTCTACAGTATTTAAAAAAATCTAAATTAATTGAATTTTAAAATAATGGAGTATATTGTTAATGATGCAAAACCCAAACATTGTTGGACATGGTTTTAGCCACTACTCCAAATTGAATTGTATTGGACCTTCTATATCGGATTAGACTCTTTCTTCCTGGACTACATATCTTAATCCTATATTCGTCTAAAATATAATATTATTCCTAGTATAAATAGATTTTGAAAAATTTATTTCGAAAATTTGTTGAATTAACCTTTGGGAGGTTTTTTGGAAATATTCTGTAACCAGCTTTTTTTGGGAACATATTTTTAAAAAATATAATATGAAAATGAGTTGTGAATGATGCTCTTCAGAAATATATATTCAACAATTCGAAATTTCACAAATATACATTAGATGACTTTTTATTTTTTTTACAAAATTTTTGGATCAGAATATGATAAACAATTCAAAATATCAATGTCCAATAATGAATTCGCAAGAAACTGATCTTAAAAGATATTTTTGACATTTTACATATATATTGTATTGGTGCAGAAAAAATGATTGAGATCAAGGAAGAAACAGCCTCGGATTATCTTGATGGATTAGTCCGATATATCATATACATGAACGGGACTCTAATTCTTTTCCAACCAAGAGAGTACAGTCAACCATTGAAATTAAACTGGGAACTGCTATAGAGAATCCTCATCAAATTCTACAGAATCCTAAGAGTGATACAACTCTGCAAAAATTATTTTAGCTTTATCCTTTCTGCAATCATGTAATCCACTTTCTAAATAAATTTGGTCCATTCACATCTTAGGAAACGGTAGAATAATCTAATTGACCAGCATACACATTTTTTCTTTCCCACAAATTCTGTCGTTTAACTGTGTTATGTTTGGACTAATGTACGCCGTGAAATCTAAAGAAATTTTAATTTTTTTGTTAAGATACAGTGTGCTCACTAAAAAAAAAAAAAGATACATTTGATCCAGTTCTTGCAAGTTCAAATGATTCCATCCTAACTAGGTCACAAACCTGAAATACATTCTTAAGATGCATTTGAAATTGCAAGAATTAGATTCACAACTGTATCTTAACTCTGAAATACACACTGAAATTTTTTTCTAAGACTTCGTGTGTGATCTAACAATATTTCAAGCATGAAGATGAAAAACACTTCACTTTGAAATAAAAGTCTGCTGTATCACCACAGGTGAAAGAATGTTTCCTTGAAACAATAACAAGTTAAGCCTTCTGTGGCTATATTGATTTGCGATGCATGAAAAGAAAATGTTTTAGGAATTAAAAAGAAAAGGAAACATGGTCATTCAATGGCACCGCTCCTATCAGTGCTTCTGTATGAATTAATCATACCAGAGCTGATCTTGTCATCTCATATACCAAGAAGCAAGCTGCATTAGCAGGAACACTTCGGACCATTGCTGGACCAAAACCCTTGTATAGGCCTTTGACCCCCTCAGAAGCTGAAATTCTTCTGAAAGCATCAATTGAACCAGAGAACTTTGGATTTTTGTAATCATCTACCTGAATCACACTCTTGACAACATCAGTTGGGTACACTGTGAGCCAGTAGGCAGCTCCTGCCAAGCCTCCAGCAAGCATCAGAGAACCTCTATCCAGTCCTGAGGTATCAGTGCCACCAGCAAGTAATTGCTTTAATGCTTCATATACACCAAACATTGCAGCATTTCCAGGTACTTCACGTGCCATAGTGGGAACCAAGCCCTTGAACAGACCTTTAATGCCCCCTTCTGACCTGATAACTTGCCTGGCCACATCCATGGGTCCCCGGTATTTCACTGCCACGGTAGCTGTTCCAGCGCCAGCTAGTACACTTTGCGCTTGCAATCTGACATTCACCATGAACTAAAACAGTAAGACGATCAAAACATTATGTACTTCTGTTTAAATGATAAAATGAATAGCGAATTCAGGAAAAGTTAACCAAGATAGTCTGTACCTCAATTCATTATTAGTCTTATTCTCATGACTATCTGATTTCATGTCAACCACAATACAAGTGATTAGATTTGTTTAAAGTGAGCACTCAAACAAGAGATGCTTCACAGAAAACAAGGCAAAATATAACTTGCTTTAGGCTGGAAAAGTTATTGTTAACAAAGAGGTTAAAATCTATGAAAAGTTTTTGAAGGAAAAAAAAGAAGAAGAAACAATAGATATAGAAGTTGATAGAAAGAATATAGAAAATGCAACTAAACATGAGAATTAAATTATCAACAATGAACTCTGACCTGCATTTGATCAATTCAGTAGGGCAAGCAAGAAAGGAAACAGCAATTCCAGCTCCAGCTCCACAAACAATCTGCTGATTTATTGTGAGGATAGCACCAGGATGCGACCTCAGTAATGTTTCCATTTGTCCTCTAACTGTAAACAGAACAGCATTGAAGGCTGCTACTGTGGCAAGTGGCGCTCCCATACCCTTGTATAAACCCCTTGGACCTTCAGCTGCCACTGTCTGCTTGACAGCATCAATTGCACCAGAATACCTGGGAAGCTGGCCAGGGAGGGGTGTAGGCTGGCTTTGGAGCTTGACCTTGATGGTGTCAAATGGGTGTCCAACTATCAATTGTGCTGCCCCTCCAACAGTCCCAGCTGTTAGGTCCTTTGCCACATCTCCCATCTGAAAAACCAAAATTCCGAGAATGAAAACTGAGGATAAGACAAGTAACTTGAACACGTTAAGTAAAATTACAATTACATAAAAATTTACTTGACAAAACAGCCCATTTAAATAATACTGCAGATAGCATAAAATCCAGGGCATGCACTTTATCTCTAAGGAAGCATTGAGAACAGGATTGTTTGTGTTTCAAAAACACAATCATTTGGTGTCTCTTTCACATTAATTTCTTCTGTTCTTGTAAAAATGTGTCAGAAGTCAAGGTATATATGATATTTTTCAGGATAACACTAGAGCTAAGAGGAGACCTAACTTCATCAGAGTAAGCCCACATTCTAGCGTTTGAAAATGTATGTATAAAACTGTAGTCCATGACATTATAGATCTTAGTATTAGTATATTTTGCTGGAAACAACTGTAGAGAATGAAATAGAAAAAGAGAGTAAATTGAATAACTTTTCACAAGGTCAGGGATCAAAGTATCAAGTATCAAGGACTAGAATGGGGATTTAGCCTTTTTGTAGTTCTCTAATAGGTAATGTCACAGGAGAGGCATACTCAAACTCCAATAATGTGAAAAAAAGCAGATGTTGGAAAGTAAAAATAAAACAAATTCTTTGCTTTGCTTCATATCCTTCCCTACTTTGGAAAACATTTATAAGATGTAATCATTATAACAACAACAACAACAACATCAATAGCTTCATCTCACTAAGGGGAGGAGGGATACATGAATCACAAGACACTATTAGCCTCGGTTAAAAACAAAATTTTTAGGGATATTATTGACCATGAAACCCTGTTTGATAATTTCCTCCAATATTCTTCCTGGCCACCCTCTACCCTAGGCTAAAAAGTCAAAAACATGCACAGTAGTGTCCTCACCAATGTCTCTACGACCAATGCAGATGTCCTAACCACTACCATGTGTGAAATAAGAAAAGGAAAACATACTAAGTCCTAGAAAAATTTCAAAAGCAATAAAATTAATTTATTGCTGCTGCAGGTGCATAGAACTATCACAAACCTGGAGATTATACTCTAGCCAGTAGAGATCAGACAACTGAACTGACCCAACCAGTCCTGTGACTAGTGCTAAAGTTGGTAAAACTCCTACGATGCCACAAAAGGTATAGGCCAATAAGCATAAACTTTCTAACTCTTCAAGGTTAAGATCAAATTCTACAACTCTTGAGCTTGACATGAAGGTATAGTCAGTGTTGTTTGCTAACTAGCACAAAACTGCTCTGCATTATTTTCTTTGCTAATCATAAACAATCTGAGGCCAGAAATAAATTCAAACAACTTTCTGTAACGGTGTCATTGTAAGGGTTGAAAGGAAATGAAGGGGAAAATACTGCAGGTATGAATTCATGAACTAACTTCAGAGTAAAAATTGTTTTTCTTTTGTCAGCCATGTATGACATTCACACCCCTCTGCGATCTATCACACTTAACCCTCTCAGAGGATATCCAGATACAACAAAAAAAGAGAACTGCTTCATAGATTAAAAAAATAACCACCACTTTTGCTTATTCAACGAATCACCCACAAATTCACACACACATAACTCAAGACAAATTCCCAAAAATGACACCGAATGTAACATTATAGATGTAATAACAACGTGTCAACTTATCAATCAAGAAGTCAATTATCGTGTAACTAAATTATATTCTCCAGAAATAAGAATAGAGACTATTTTATGAATCAAACATCTAAGGAAGAATACAGAACTAATGTCATTTGCATGCATTTATATCCTTGTAAAAAAATGAACTTTTGATCAAGTTAGAATATTACCTTGCTTTCACAGGTTCCCAAATAATAGATGTAAAAACGAATCAAGTTGAACCAACCCTTTAGTCAGAAGTGCAGAGTGAAAAAGGAACAGAATTGAATGTAGAATAGACGGGGATGAAATCGAAAGAGAGAATGGTTGTATCGATGAAATGAAAAGGGTTCAAAATCGAAAGAAAGGGGTGTTGGTGAATCTGTGAGGTGGGTTCTTTCTGAAGGTGACAGATACTAATCCAAATGTGAAACACACGAGAAAAGCACGTAACAACCAAAAATTAGAGTTACACAACCTGAAGAGTGATGTGCAAAGCACAACAGCAGAGATTGTTGAGACAACGCTGCTGCAGGATTTGTCAGAAACTCATTCTCTGTCTCTGTGTGTCTGTGTCTCTGCCATCAATGGGGTGGAGTTGTGAACATATGATTGACACTTGACACAGAAGTGGAAATTGAATCTATACAATTTATGCAATAAAAATGAAATATAATGGTTTCTGCTAGGTGGTCTACTAATAAAAATAAATATTTTATTATGACTCATTTTAAAAGTTATTTAAAAATAAAAAATTTACTTAATATTTTATTAATGAGTCTTATATGAGAATGGTTTAAAAATAAAAAAAGTATTTATTATTAAAAAATATATTTAATATTATTTTTAAATAATTCTTATTAAAATATAGAATTTATAATAAAATATTTAATTTTATTCTTAAACAATTTTTATTAAAAATGTTATGACTATGTTTTTTTATTTTATCTTTTAGTTTAGATAATTTTTAAATTTTTATTATAAAACTATTAAATATTTGTTATAATAAAATTATTAAATATTCTATTATAAATTTTTTTAAATAAAAGATATAATGTAAAATTTTATAATTACTTTATATTTATAATTTAATTTTTTATATTTATAAAAATTATATAATCTTATAATTAAAAATCATAATATAAAATTCTTATATATTTTGATAAGTATAAATATATTACTAGCAAAATATACATTTATTTTAAATATAAAACATTGTATTAAAATATAATAAATTGCTTAATTTTATTTTCTTTAATTTCAATTAAATTCTTTGATATACAAAGATAACTTGAAAATTAAAAAAAAAACAACTATTTTATTATCATATATAATAAATAAATAATATTTCATAAGTATTTTAATACATTTTATACAAATAAAAATACATCTTATTATAAAAATTATTGTGATGATGTGAATGCCACCAACTCTTGGATGAGTTCATCACAAGTTCACACAAGTAATGGAAGTGAACTTGTCCTATTTTCTGTCCAAATCCCAACTAGTATTGTACCAGGTAATAACATAATTGTTTGGCGTTAAAAAGATAAATAAAATAAAATAAAATAAAATAATTTTGATAATAATATCTGGCCTCAGCCTAAAGGGAATAAGAAACTGATATTCTTAAATACTTATTTTAAGTTTTCTTACTTTCTAATTTAAAAGCTAAATTAAAGAAAAATCATATATGTCAAACATTATATCCTAATAGAAAATAAATACTAAGTTTAAGAATAGGTAAAAAGATTAATATTCAAACTAGACATTAAATATTATAACAAATCAAACATTACATTAAGAAAGATTAAGATAAAATATATAATAAAATTAAATAATTATAAATTAGGAAGACACACTCTATTTAAATAACTATAATGTAGTTGTAAATATTAATAAATGGCTTATTTAACATTAAATGTAACAGTAAGTATTAATAAATGAGACATTTATATTTGTTAAGGATAAACGTTACTTTGTTACAAAACGTCACTCAATTATAAACGTTAAATGACAGTTGCTAATCTTGGTCCACATATTCCTTTCCAAAAATTCTTCAGCAGAAATGAAAAGCAAATTTGTTCTTACTGGCAATTAAAACATTTGAATCCATATTTCGAAAGGGTCTGCACATATTTTAAGTAGTTTTTCCAAGTAGGAGTTGTTTTCAAACTCTTATTATGGATTAGATATGTGTTTTAAGTGTTTGCCTTCTTCTGTAAATGCCTTAAATATTGTTACATTCAATAGTAGTTAATAATCCCAGAACCTGTCTTTTAAGTTTCAATATATATGTGGGTTATTAACTTCAATCAAGCTGGGTTTTCCATAAAAGTCTATAAAATGGTTATTTTGGAAATTGTTGAAAATAAATGTTTTATTTAATTTGTATATAGATTTTTAAATGCCAATAAAGATCTCATATTTAAGAACCACATTTATAATTTGTTTATCATACCACACTTAAACAAAAAATTATGACAAAATTAAATAAATCTAAATTCAGTATCTCATATTTTAAAAATATATATTTAATAAAATTATATCAATTTTTAATTTTTTTGTTTTCAATATTTTTTTTATCCTTTTTTCTCTGTAGTGTTCACTATTTTGTTTATCCTTATTTGTTGGAGTTGATATCTTATATTGCAAAAGCAAACTTAGAATTTCTTTTATCAAAATACAATTTGTGAGAATAGTCTTTAATTTGACTTCTCCTTTGTTTATCCTTCTTATTTGTAGTTGATCTCATTTAATGTAAACAAAACAATAACCCAAAATGAAGTTCCTATTTAATAAATTATGCGATGAAACTAAAATTTTGAACTCCAATTTATATTTTTTTATTGAAATTGAAAATTATTTTTATTAGATGATATTCAAATTTATTTTATTTAAAAATACTATATCAACTAAAACTTAAAAATAAAGTTTAAAATATAAAAGTTAAAAAATATAAACAATTTTTTTTATAAATAAAACAAGAAATATGTAAGTACTATTGTATTAAAAACATAAAAATTATTTGTTTTAAATTTAAAAAAATGTGAATAACTTAATATAACTTAAAAAAAAAAGTGCAATTTTCCCTCAAATGTAAGCTGAAACACTTGATAAAGAACCATTTAAGGAAATACTTAAAACTAAAATCTGGCTAACATTGTTTAGAATTAGGTGGTGGTCATTTCTGTAAAGAACTTCCTCTCACAAAGTCCATTAGTTCCGGTCTTTCGCTATTGTCTCCATCATTGAATGTATTACATGATCTTTCAGGTCCGTTTATTTAGAGGGAAAGTATTGAATACAAAAGTGATCAGTGCAAAGAATTGTTTTTTTTTTTCTTCTAAAAGTGACAAAAAAAACCATTTTTAAATATATTTATTTTTTTATACTATATATATATATATATAAATGAAAAATATAAAAGAAATTTTATTTCACAAAATCATTTTACTTAAATAAATTATTAATAATTTTTATACTTACAATTTTAATATATATATATATATATATATATATGTTAATTACTATTTTAATAAAAAGTTTATATATATATATATATAAAGATGATTAAAAAAATTAAATTAATAATTTAATATATATTTTTTATTTTTTTAATATAATATAATATTATGTTATTAATTTAATTTCAAATATTTTAGAAAAAAATCTAGTTTTATAATAAAAAATATTTTATCAAAGTATAAGTTACTGAAATAATAAGATTAATTTAAAAATACTATTTTTAAAACTATTTTATTAATAAAAAATAATTAATAATTATATAAATAATTTATAATTAAATAAATTAATATTAAATTAAATTTAATTATTTATTATTTTTTTAAATGAATATATTTTTTTTATTTTCATATTACTTTCTTCGTGTTATAATATATCAAAATGTCAAAAATATAATACGTTTTATTTTTGGTATTGTTGATTTTGATCCTAAAAAAATTACTTATTTATATTCTAATGAAGTTGATAATATATTCTTTTACTTTATTTGGTGGGGCAATAGAAATATATAAAAAGAAATAAATTTGGATATATTATCAAAATAGTTAATTTTGAATAATTTTTTTAATTTTATCTTTCTTTTCCTTTTTTTCTTTTTTTCCCACATTATTTTTCTTTAGTAATAGAAAGAAAAATATACATATATTTGTACACTTTGATACGGATAACTCAACATCCTAAAAGTTTAGAGGAAAAGCATAAAAATACAAACACGAAGCCGGACCTGTTTTGATTACACACTCTCACTACAAAATATCCGTTGGTAGTTTCTTTTTCAAGGTAAGACTGGATAATTACAATTACAGATTTGCATATAGCAACAAATTGGGCGGTGAAAGAATCAACAACAGACTCTTTACAAACATATCGTAAAATCCAACATCCTTTTATTCTTTTCAACCCCACATGAGCACATATGATATTCATATCCAACATGACATAGTAGCAAACCACCATCCACCATTTCCCACATGACTGATTGTAGTAACGATGCTACCGACTTTTATCCTTTTCACAATTGAAGTTAATATACACTTGAAGCATAGTACTAATACTATAACTGAAAGAAAAATTAGACTTGAATTGATTTATCACTGCTCCCTTCAAGCAAGGGTGTTAGTTTCCCTCCTCTAGTTGCGGCAGATCGATCCTCGTCATCATTGTCATATACGTCAACAGTCTTCATAAAGATTCCTGCAATATTTAATAGGATTGATTAAGTAACTATAGTCCAGTTATATGTCAACTTTCAACAGCATAGCTTTCTTTTTCTTCAAGTTATTCGAATCAGTGTTCCTGATGTTATTGTTGATAGTTGGTGTTTAGGTGATCAACTAACAATTCTCAGGTATCATCACTCGAACGTAAATTTATATATCCAGCAAGACTATCGACTAGGAAACTACTCACTAAGGTTATTTACATCACCTTTGATCTTTATTGCAACACGCTAATTAAGTTTAACACAATGCATCAAAAGATAGCTAAAATTGGCATTTATTATCATTTATGATTTATAGTTCCCCAAATGCTAAACGAAAGGAATGATTCAACTAGTTCTTGAGAATCTAGAGGACTAGTCGTTGTAGTTGAGAATTTTCTGCATCTTCCTACTGAATATTATCATTTCATTTTCAATTAGAAAGATAAATAGACAAAAAAACATGTAGAGGAACTTCCGCACAAGCAAAACATCAACGTTTTCTTCTTGTGCTCTGAAGAAATTAATCCAAAACAATTCTAACTTAAATGCATATCAGAAAGTATTAAGAATAGAGAATTGCAACCATAGCAACATGCCATTTACCTATGAACCATATCACAGCAGCAAGAAAGAAAATGGATGTTAAACAAAGTGATGTCTTCCTCCAGTCGTTAATATGATCCTGCCCAGGAAAACCAAGTTGCTTAGAGTAAAAAATAACTCTCAAAACTAAACTAAACTAACAAAGGCATGAAAAAGGCTATATAATATCAGGAAATCTGGACCTCATAGGCATCAAAATGCAAAACAGAAATGTGTTGTTCTCGCTACATTTTCGTAATAGACAATCGAATGGCATACTTGTTGTCTTCTAACAGATGAACACTAGAAACCCCTTTCACATCAATACAGGAGAAGTAGAGGAAGGGGCAGCTAGAAATAACAAAGGGCGTCCCGTGTGAGGACTGGGGAGGGTAAACGTACTCACCATCAAGACAGTTTAAAAAGAACAGTGTTATAGTAAATAAAATCAAGTGAACATGTATCCTACAACCTGTGAATTGCTGGAAACTATATAATTGAACGATTATCCCACATACCAAGAAGGTTAGATGCACTGTAACAAAGGAAATAGGATTAGAAAACATTAGCCCAATGTTTTTATCTTGTGAATTGTCTTCAGTAATTATTATCTATATAATCAGCTTGCCTATAAGTATTATTCTGCTGAGTGCTCGTTTCACTGGAGCATTTTCAGCCAGTCTCAAATATTTTCTCCCATAATCTCAAGTTGATTGATAATACGAACTTATTTTTGACAACAGATAATAGCCAGCTTATTAAAAAGACGATAGTCGGTAAGATGAACTTCACTAGCTTGGAACAATTGATGATCATCTAATGAAATTTATAATAATATCCAGTTATAAAAGTAACCAAAACAAAGCTAAAACATCACAAGAGTCTTAGGTGTTTTACCTGCAGGACCCCAACGAGTGGTGAGGAAGGCACATCACCAAAGATATGGATTGAAACTGTAGATACAGCCATAGACAGTGGCCTCAAACTAGGTTTTACACAACGGAGAGAAACATAATTTACAGGAGCCTACAAATACAGTACCATAATCAACCAAATATTAAACCAATGACGCCAAAAAATTGAGACTATATTTAATAAAATAAGAATATAATCAGCAGATTCACATTAAATGGTCAGATTTCTCTTAAACATTATCCCAATAAAGAAAATGAGGAAATGTTATTGAATCAATTAGAATGTTTGGTTTGCACACGTTTAGTTCTCGAATTTTCTACAGAAAATGGAAACTAAACATTTGCAAACCAAACACTATTAATCAGTCCATCCATAACTTATTTAATAAAAAGAAAAAACCCATGAAATCATCCCATTTATCAGTTTTCATGAATAGATAGATATCCAATCCACCATTTTAAAGTGTGGTATATTTTTTAAGAAAAACATTTCCATAGAAGAAAGTTCTTTACCTATACATTCTTGCACCCAAACACTATTAAGTCCAAAACTCGTTCCTTAAATACTTCCAACAAATGATATTAGACTACTTACTCCAATAGATTGCAAAAATATGTTGGATGGTTCAATATCTATCCATTAACAAATGGTGATTCAATCCATTAATTTTTTATTTTTATTTTTTAATTGGATGGATTGCTTGGATTTATATTTGGATTGTAAAATGATAAATCGATTGAACTACCATTCCAACTTTTAAGAGAGGAAAAATTTAATCCCCCAAGTGATTTATAAATTACCTGAGTGATAAAAATCAGTATTTCACCGATAGAGAAGAAGACTACGAAACCAGACAAGCTCCTGAAAAGGAACGCAATGAAGCAGAAGATTGCACCTAGAAATGTTGCTCCAGAAAGAAGCTGCAATGGAAACCAGGGGAACCCAATGATGAAATGAAATAACATATAAAAAGAATATCATGAAGTGCAGAGCCACCTTACAAAGACCTAACAGAGTCAAATTCAAGACAAAGGAAAAGAAGACCAGGACATGCAATTGCAAATGCCAAAGACTCATATTTTCTCTACATATATTTACTCAGTGGCTGTGTAGAACAATCATCAACTTTTAGACTATTTATACTATAATTGCTAATGAAACTAGGTCAAGGTTTCATCCAAATCCAAGGAATCCCATACCTTTGTAAGTCATAAAGAAAGGTTTTCTAGTCATCATTTGACTCGTTTCACACTATAGGTAAAAAGTAAATCAACGAAGTTTACCTTGAAAGCATTAGAGATGGTTGATGATATCCTGTCAAGAAACAAGCCTCCAGCTAATGTCCCCAAAATCCCACAAACGATTGTCATGCCTCCAAACAACAAGTCAGCATTACTCTGTCAGAAAAAAGAACACCGTTAAAGAAGCACATTTCCATAAAGCACCCAGCCCAAGTCTTATGTGACAAAAATAATGTTAATAAGGCTTAGAAGATTAAGGACCTAACTCACACATACAGTTTGTGAAGTGAGGATTGTTCGACAACTAGTTGACTCATATTTTAAGTCATATCTCTAGTTGATGAGAGACTAAACCACCACCCTTGACACTGCAGTTAAGGCAATTCCCAATGAGACAACAACTAAGGCAGGCTATGGATGATCGCATTTAAAGCTGTTTTCCAAAACTCTAATCACCCAAGGCTATTGGCCTGGTGACAAATTCAAATGACCCAAGAATGTATGTAGGATAAGCTCTGGTAGCATCTTAAATTTTAGGTTTAGGGTCTAACCCAATCCCTCAAGATTGGATTGTAAGATGAGAATTGCCCAAGCTTTATAAGCTCTCCTTTAAGCCATATCTTTAGTCAATGTAGTAGCACCACCCTTGAGGTTGTGCTTAAGGTAATTGCCAAAGAGGCCACAAGTAAGACTAGATGACCACAATTAAGGTGGATTTCCAACAACATGTGTTGGAGATCCTATCTCGACCAGTGGCTATATGCTATCGAATCATTATTGGACTACCCGCAAATGTCCAATCATCAATGTGAAAGGGGTTGGAGATCTTACATTGACCAATGATATGACCAAATTAAGGTATCCTAGCGTTTGTTGTTAAGTTTATCAAGTCACCCACTGTCAAGGCGTTATCAAATGATTCATACATATCCAATCTTGCAAGCTTCATATAATAGATGTTCAGTCCTCGTTTTGATGGAATATTGAAGATCCTACATCAACTAATGTTATGAATAAAATATTGTATATGAGTGATATATAACTCTTGTATATAAGTGATATATAAATATTATTCTACACCCCAAATTATAAGTACAACAACAGCAGAAACAATATCAACAAAGTTTTGTCCCAAGAGGTGAGGTTCATCAATCAACACACAAAGCGCTTTCAAAATACAAATTTTCAATAAAATCTTCAAAATAATGCCTTTGGTAATATTTTTTTTCTAACATTTAATATGAATTCATAAAATATTGGATAATACGTGAGAATACCATATGGTAAATGTTGAATCCTGCCTTCGGACCCCAATATGAATAAGCTCCAATGACAAAATTGTATGCTATGTACCCTGGCAATGTTTAAATTCTTACGTAAAAAAACAAATACCATAGTTCGGAATTGATAACACAAATATCAAATTATCAAAACTGAAATTCATTAAATTTCTTGTGCATTACGATCAACTATAATAACAATGTTCCAATTTTCTTAAACTTTCATATTCAGGAAACAAATGAAAGAAAAGTATTTTACTGCAGGTAGGGAAAATAGGTACCTAGAACATTTATAACATACACTTGGTCAAGCAAGAGCTCTTGCATATCTTTTAAGAAGATGGTGAATTGATCCCAAAATTTGGATACTGACCTGAAAACCATAAGGAGAAGTGAAGTTTTACTCAAATATCAGAGATCAAGTGAACAACAACTTTAGCAGTCTATTCTGACCATAATCATCAAGGGAATTTCAAAAACAATAGTGCCACTTACTTGGATCCTATTGACGAGGCTTGATCTTCAGTGAGTATGCCATCATCTATAACAGAAACCTCTAACTTTAGGCATAGAAATTATTTACTACACCAAAAATGCAATCGTTCTATAGAAATGGAAAACAGATATAAAAGTTTGAAATCAAAAAAAGTTATAAATATTAAAAATATGACTAACAATTATCCTAATATGAATGACAGACTAACACACATGGCTTCTTCCTTGAAAATGACCAATAGATTAAAATGGATAATAAAGTTAATAAATTCAAAAGATAATTCCTAATAATGGATGAAGAACATAAGATATACAAGCTCAGAAAAAATGGAGAAAGGAAAACAAGAGATTTGAATCAAGTAAAATGTATTAAGGTTGAAGAAGAAAAAGTTTATATTATAGATCACGATATGAAAGAGATGGAAGAATTATTGTATCAAGCTTTTCAATGGTGGATAAGGATCAATTTGTAGCATGGAAGAACTCCAAGAGGATGGAAAAAAATTGGCTTATTACAAAAGAATATATTATGGTAAAGTTGCTCCTAATGGTAATCCTACTAAACTTTGGAAGTGTGTAGGTGAACAACATATTGCTTGGCTCACTAAGCTATTTAACCAAATTTTGATATCCAAGAAAACAGTGAAAATGAGTCATGAGTGGAGGAGCACTTTGGTCCCAATATTTAAGAACAAGGGTGTTCTTCAAAACTTTTAAAACCACATAGGAAAACAACTTATGAACCACACTATGAAATTATGAGAAAAGGTGATTAAGCATAGAATATCCAAGCTATACAATCCATGTACTCAACCTGCCTTGGAGGAATAAGGCTCTGTTGATGTACTACTGCAATTTCCCCCTTCTCCAAAATAAATAATTAATCATAGCACAGCTTTTAACTGAACTAAACATTAGCAGTGTCAATATGAGTCACACCCATGAACCAACCCGGCTCACTACGAGTTTGAACTAGGTTGGGTTGAAAAAAATTTAAAATTTTTAATAGAGGATCAAAGTGAGCTTAGGTCACTTAACCATAGGTTAAACAGGTTCGCACCGGAATGGTAGTAAGTTGACTCATTTTTTTCAAATCTTTAATACTCTAATTTTTTTCTATCCCTGTGTTAATGTAAATCCATGAAGAAAAAAATATTTTAACAAGTTAACTCACCTAACTCACTTATTTTAGCAAGTCCACCCACTAAACTTACCTATTTTAGTAATTTAAAAAAAACAAAAAAAATACATATATTTAAGCGAGTGAACCCACTAATCCACCGACTCATGATGGGTCGAATTGTAAATTTTTTGCTCACCAAAAATTAAGTTGGGTTGAGTTAACTCATTTTTAATGTAACCCGTGGGTTGGCTCACTTAACAATCCTAGTGCATACTGCAAAATAGTGACTTCAATTGTGTTAAATTTTTTTACAACTGCTATCATACTATATTAGAGACCTACCAGCAAAAAATATAAGATGCGTATTTTTGTATGAAATTCATTAGCATTGCTGTTTTTTCAAACTTTTTCTCTCCAAGAAATTTGTCCACTCTTTGAGTTTTCTCCAAAGATAGGTGATATTATAAAAATAACATTGGAAGATAATATTTTTTCCAATAAATTTTAAAGATTATAAGGAAATATAGATAATAAATTACAAAAGAATAAAAAATACCTCCAGTTTCTAAAACATTTGTTTCAACAGATGCTAGTGTTTGTTTGGATTCCAAGGGTGCAAAACCTACATTAAAAGTCAAACAGTGCATTGCTGTAACAGGGATTAAAAATTAAGGATAGTCTAAACACATCAAACAGGAGAAAATGGTCACCTTTCAATTGTATAGGCTTTATTACAAAACCCAAAATGGGAAAAGGAAGCATCAAAATTGCCTCAACCCAGAATGCTACACGCCAGTTAAATTGGCTTCCAACCTACACATTATTTGAAAACTTGAAGCTAATTGATTTGAAAATTATCACTGAACAATGCTCATGGAAATGTCGACCAAAGCGACTGAACGAAATAAATATAAAAGCTGCGCACAAGTCTTAAGCTTGCAAGTATGTTAGACAAGGGTAACACAATAAAGCAAAATGTTTTTTCCAGAATATATGGCTAATTAATTTGAGAATATGGCTGGAGTACATTATTAGTTCTCCTGCAGAAGTCCATCAAATATACACAATCCTTCATAATTCAACTATTTGTGCAACGTTCCATCTATCTTTCTTCCTTTGTTAAAAAGAATGCAACCATGAAAGTTAGTGCTTAGCTAACTAAACTAGTGGAAGTTTACTACTATAAATAGTTTGACTTTTACAATAGCTTTTATCAAGCTACATGTAAGACTGTAATTAACCCAAGTTATCTTGTCGGAGACAAGATTTTTTTTTTTTTTCTAAAACAAAAAATTGGAAGATAACAATTTTATTAATATTTAAAATTTCTGAAAAAGGCAATAATAGTTACAAATCTCAATCATTTGCAGAACAAAAAGATGAAAAATCGGAAGGAGGACATTTTACAAAATAATATAAAATCTCCGTTTTTTGTTCACCTTGGCTCTCAGCTGTATAATTTCTAGAGCAGTTATTTGCATGTAGGTACGCTAAAATATTTAAAAGTGGGCTCAAGGGGGAAATTGTCTCTCGTGCAGTTTGCTAATTATAGAATATAGTATCAACTATATGTAAATAGGGAAACTAAAATATTTTATAACTCAATATAAACAAACAAAAATTTCAACAATTATTAAGACAAAATTAAAATATATAGTCCAAGAAATGACACAACACAATTAGCTAGCATAATCAAAAGCCATGAATTCACACAATCAAACAAAAGAAACAAGTCATCTTAACACACTATGCAAGTATGTAGTCTTACAAATCCACCATAAACATAGCCCAGAGCAGTCCCAGCTGGTATACACATATAAAATGTAGCAAGCCATGCTGTTTTCTGTCACCAATAAAAACACTTAAGCTGTAACAGTTTATTCATGGAGGAAGAGTCTCAACTAATTATGAAGGCATTGAAGGGAATAAAGAATGGGTTAAACCTGTGCAGCGGGGGCATGGTCATCTATGAATGGTGCTGCAAGACTTATGAAGGAAGCCTCACCAACACCAACTAGCCTGCAGAAAAACTGCCGTGAGTCTCGAATCAAAATATGGCATGAGAAACTGGTGAATTATTAAGGGCTTAAGGGTTTATAAAGTTGAAAGTACTAAAACATTCCCTTACATTCGGCATATTGCAATAGACCAAAAATCAAACGAACTACCGCATCCAGCTATCGCAAATGTCCAAACAGACAATCCAACACCAATAAGCCGAAATGGATTGTGACTGCAAACATGAAAATGCATTAGATCACCATTCAATGGAAGGGGAGACATGGAGGTTGCAAATATTTAATCCTACTTTGAGCTACTTAAGCCCTATTGAAGAACATGACTCAAATTATCAGTTTTCCATTGTTTATGCATTTCTTTAATATAACAAAATGCCATACATTCAAGCACAGTAAACATGCTGAAAGCTGACACCATTTCATTCTTCTTTAATTTATAGATTTTCAGAATGAAGAATATTGGATAACAATTGATAGGTGGGTAACATGAAATCAACAGGAGAACAATAAAAGACCATAAAGTGATTCTCTTTCTTTTCCCTGAAGATAAGATCAAGCATAGAAGTGCAGAAACAATTTTAATTCATTTATAACAATTTTTAAGAACAAAAAAAAATGTCAATTCATTTATAATAAATAGAAATGACAATAGATTTTCTTGCCTCTATGATTTACATTAACCAAATTGGAAATGAGAAGAAAAAATTTTCTATGGCACTGTACATTATCTAGAAGGATTTAAACCATGTAGTCGACAGACAAGCTTCCGTTCAATCATATGAATTTCAAAAAGCAAGAAATAAGAAGAGAAGCAACACAAGTGTAGATCAGCAACAAGAACTCTGAGATTTAATTCAGTACCAAGAGTCACAGTTTTTCCTTTCTTTCTTTCTTTCTTTCCCTTTTGAAGAGATAAAACCAATTTATCCCTAACACCTGAAGGTTTTATTTAGGAGGATTGGTTCCTCAACACGATTTGGAACCGCAAGGGCCTATAATTGTTCTATGCATTCCCATGATATCTTAGGGTCTCACCTAATAGCTTAATTATCTCCTCCACAAATCACTCTTATAAGAGAAAGTCTTACGACATTATCTGAAGTAGAATATCCTTTTTAAAATAGTCAACACTAGAAAACTTGTTTACAGAACTGGAGCTAGAAATTCAAGAATTTCACCACACATTGAGTCATAAAAACAACCCCAAGATGTGGAGGATCTTCTTCTGCTATTTTCATTTTGCTGTTGACTTGATAAGCTAGCCCTCAGCTCATGCTAATACAAATGCAATACCTACAATTAACTACTACATCCACACCATATAAAGTAACAACAACTCATAAGTGTGACATGTTGAACCTGAGATCATGGTTAATCCATAAGCATTAAGAGAGTGAAAAGCAGGCAGAAGCTCCTGCAAGACGAAGCAATTCACCTTTTGGCCAGAGAGGCAAATATTGGAGAGGCAATTAGAAGTCCAACCATAAATGCAGATGACAGAACTCCATCTTGAAAATTGTTCAAGTTAAAATCCCCCCTGAAACGTGGAAAACCGTGCCACCATAATACCACAACGACAATCAGTAGTAAAATAGGGTTTAGCAGAAACAGAGCTTACTGAATTCCACTGCCACCTGTACAAATACCAGATTCAGTACAGGTTGCAAGAGTTCCATTTACACCATTACTGGCTATAGCTCCTCGATCCACATAGTTTAGCATGTTAATGATACAAAATATCAAGAGAAGCCTGAAATCATCACATCACATCACGTCACGTCACATCACATGTATTAATTAATTTGCCTTGTGTAGTTCACTTCAACAGAAAGAACAAAACACTTGTGAATTGCAACATATCAATCAGTGAATCATGTATGTTCCGAATTTGGAGTTACAAAACAGAAGCAATGAAATGCAAAAGTAGGTTTGTGAGAAGGACCTTTTAGGCGTAAACCAAGAAGGATTGGGAGTTTGACCTGACTCCGATGCCATATTCGCTTCGCTCTGCTCGCAGCTTCTTCTCCTCTTCTTTGATTACAGATTTTTGCAATTGATAAGTGAAAGAAATAGATGTAGTTAGTTAGTCTATAATAATAATAGTTGGAAGTAAGTCTGCATTCAAGTTTCCTTATTTGCGTATTCGTTCCTCCAACCTCAACGGCCTTATCTTTCCTTCCCTCGATAAATATAAATAATACACATCGTTTCAATCACCTTCTTATTATCAAAATATAAAATATCGGATCCAATCAAATAATAATATTTGTTTAACATCCTCTTATACTTTACTACATTTTTATTTATAACTCGTCAAATTATTTATCATCTTATTTAATAGTAATTCGCTATATATCTGTATATCATGACCGTTTAGAATCCCTGGATGTTTAGTTTTTTCGGTGGCGTATACTCGGTTACACCACACACAGCTTGAAATTTTTATACAACATATGAATCTATTGCATACAAAAACGCGAGGGGGCGATTAGTAGGATGAACCCGTCCAAATTACTATACTTAATTAATAAGGAAGATATAGGTATGTCTTATTATATCATTTATGAAAATATATTAAACTATCAATTGTTTGATTATTTTTCACAAAATTTAACATAAGGTAGCGTATATTTTATAATTCAACGGTTAAATTAATTAAAACTATATTGTGCATAAAGTTAATGGTAGTGTAGTAATTAATGTAAATTATATCAGTACCATTTGATTTCTCTTAAAGAAAACTATTTAAATTCATAAACTTATATAATCTTGTTGAAACATTTTAAGACGTGTGAACACAGATTTTAAGCTTATAGCAACTCAAATATCTGAAAAAAAATAGATTTTTGTTTGAAGGATATATATATTTTTTAAATGATCTCTTTTACTAGAAACTCTTAAAAATTCAAAATAAAAAGGTCGTATTTTCGAAGAAAGTAAAAAATTATGATATTTAATATTTTTACACACATTAATTTAAACACAATGATAGTACCAATATTTTTATATTGTAATCCAAATGAGGTTGTTAATCTTGTAGAAAAGCAAGCCAGAAAGTCACATTTGGTTTGTAGCCTAAAGACTATTTTAAAGATACACATTAAAATGACTTTTTTGCATAAAGATAAAGAATAAAATCTTTTGATAATTTTATCACTTTAAGTTTAAAGTTATTTTTAAAACAAATTTGTTTGATAAAATAAATTTCAAATTTAAGTAACTAAAAATTAATTGTCTTAGTTAATGGAATAACATATTATATAAAATTAAGTTAATCAAAATTAATTTATTTTAATGGTAACAAAAATACTACAATTTAAAAATATTAGATCTAACTATGTAAAAAATACATAATATTAATTACAAAAGATGAAACGTTAAGAGCACAAATACTATTTTCAACAATATTTTTATAAGATATTTTAATAATGTCAAATTATTTTAAAAATATTATAAATCGTCTAAAAGTATTTAATAAATATAATTATTTTTTTTATTAACTCAAAATACAAATAATAAAAATTATATTTAAAATATCAAAATGTTATTGAATTATGATATTTACTCATTTTAGTAACGTTCTTTTGAGGTTGACTTGTTATTCCTTCCTTTCAAATGATTCACTTATTATTCCCTCTTTTAAAATATATCACATTTAAAATTAGATTATACAAACATAAACAATAATTTATATTATTTTTAATAAATTTATTAGTTTCTTTTCATTAATATTTTTATCATTTTAATATTCTCACTAACCAAAATATTCTTAATAACTTGTTACCTCGTTTCTTTGTGTAATAAATGTAATTAATAAACCGGAATATAAATAATAATAAAAAATTAATACAACTTTAAATTTTATAATTGTCATGTAATATTTAAAAACAATTTTTTCTATCCAAAATAAAGAGATACGGATGATCAAATTTATTATTATTTATTGGAAACCACTCGTCTATATTTTAATTAAATCGTTTTTTCCAACCTCGTATATGATTGATTGACTTAATATTTTAGAAGATACATGAGTAGATAAAAGTATCATATCAAAATAATGACCCAAAACAACTATAGAGATTTTTCAGAAATAATAAGAAATAATAAAACTACAACAAAATTTTAAAAAATCACTCAGTTTATATGAAACAAAAATAAATTCAAATCAGATTTCATTATTCTGCCCGTTAATTTGGGGAAGCTTAATATTATGATTCCGAGCCCTTAATCATTCTCATTGTGACGGATTTTCTTTGTCTCGCGCTGCATCGTTATTAATTATTGACTTACAGATAATTAATGATTATTCAGCCATATCTCAAAATACTAAACAAAAACCGTTTACATACATATATAATACATAGATGTATACTTCACATATTCTTTATAGCTGAGTAAGCTGCAAAATGAACATCGTAGCATTCACCATCCCATGACGAGTCATGTGCCATTGCTTGCATTATTTTTCGTTTCCAAATTGCAGGGTTAGCCCTCTACAAGGCAAAGGATAGACATTTAAGTAACATATCATAATTGCATGGATTGTTATTTTCAAGAAAATAATAAAACTTATTAACGAGAAACCACATACAATTTCATCAATAGCAAGGCTCAGAGACATGTTTCCAAAGCTAGAGTTGATTAACTTTGAGTATATAGTAGCCTCGTGGTCTTGGTCAATGAAGTTCCTTTCAAAAGGTATTACCCTTGCAGATAAATAGATATAAATAAAATGAGTGTTACACAAGAATAGAGACAAAATTTCATCTATCACAAAATATATCTGTTCGATTACCTGTTTGTGGCAGCATCAGAGGTAAGTGCTATTGGAGCTGCTCCATACCTTAATGCTATGAGCTACACAAAGCAAAGTCTTTTAGAAACTACAATTTATTTTAGAAACAAGCAACTTCCTGGTAGCTGAGCAACTAAATTTAATTCATACTACATGTTTTACTTGAGGATGGGATGGTCTTACTGGGATTTCGTCAGTAGGATCAAGAAAAGATTGGCACAAGATGATGTCGGATCCAGCAAAGACTAAATGCAACAGAGCTTCATCATATGTAGGCAAAAGTCTAACATTATCATCCTGCACATTTTGAATGGAATGGCAGATCATTAGTATCTCAACCGTATAAATAAAATGAACAATTAAAGTTAGAACTAGTTAAGAAAATCTTGACCATATCTATATGATTGTATGGCCAATATTAACTCCTCTCACGTCTCATGCTCTCACTAGATACATCTTTTTTTTATTATAATGTCAAATAATGCAGCTTTATGACTAGATAGTTTAAATTGAAACGCTCATTTTGCTGAATAAGTATGAGTAGGACAAGATATGCCCAGGTAGTTAGCCAAAACTGCTACTAATGCTTTATCACACAGAATTACAAGGAATTATAAAAGTAAAAATTTAAAACAAGACAGTGTGGGTATTACCTTGAGTTCCTTCTGAAGTGATTCAAGTGTCTGATTCGAGATTGATCTTTCATTGGTCCCAAAAAATATGAACTGCCAAGAATAATTATTCCAAACCAGTTTTAGATAAATGTTTTGAAACAAGAATTTTCGATAGCCAGATTCATTTCATACAAGGTTGATTTACTTAAGGTTTTTATTTCACTTTATCCTCAATATGAAAATACGAGGAACAACAAAGATTATGTTTCTCCTATAAGAAACAGACAAAAATTCATATGCACACTAGTATGATTGGAGCTTCCTTCTCAATATCAGTTAATGAGAAAATATTAGAAGCAGTGAAAATAAAAAACTAAAGAAAAGTATAAGCTCCACAGAAATGCCAACCTGGACATCATGTTGCTTAGCATTCAAGATAGCTTCCTTCACCCTTTTCTCATCCAGGTCCCGTCCTTCCGAAAAAATGCAACCAACCTGATAAAAAATTAAATTATGACCAGAAAAGCCAAGTAAAACACCATATGTACTCAGTTCTGCTATACTAGTCATGTAAGTTATGATTTTCGAAATATTGCTTTGAAGAAACAGACTTAACCATTAATTTCACTAGATGAAAATTCATAAAATTAAATAAATGAATAATTTCAATATGAATGTCGAAGAAATTTCCAAGCACAAGCATAGAAAGGGACACAGGCACAAAGCTGTTCACTTTTTCCTTGGCCTTTTTGGAGAATCCCTTGCCTTCATATTCCTTGTGATTTCATCCTCTGTCTTGATGAAGTACTTCTTTATAACAAAATAAAAAGATGTTTGCAGTTCTCTAAACCACATTAGTATTTTAAATTTGTTTCTCATTATGGTTGCCTTGGACATCTTTTAATCTACATTACAGAGTTATCACAATCACGTTGTTTGTAATATGTTACACTTGTTTTCCGATGTATGTATTCATAATGTCACCCAAATAAATAAGAAGTAAGGAGTGATTCACTTACAAGAATACTAGAAGAATGTTCAGATATTCCCAGCTGCTGCAGCAATGAAACTTTGCAAACAGCTTTTCCATTGATATTTTCGGCATTGAAATTTTCTGGAAGAAAATAGTCTGTTGAAGGATCCCATGTTGATTTGTCTAATCCATAAGGAGCAATGACCAACTTGTCCCTGCAACCAAATGTAATTTTCCACATTGAAATACAAAGGGAATGTCAGAGGGAGGAAGCTTTAGAGCAAAAACAAGTTATCAAACTAAAGAAGGGGCACTATTTAAAAAAAATTAACTAGTATATTTATCAGCCCGCCCATTTACTATGTTAGCTATATCAAGTTACTATTGATTTTCAAGAAAAGACAAAACAACACCCATCAAACACTAAACAAGATTGAAAGTATGTTATGACTGCATACTTACCTATGAACATTTAAAGTAGGTTCCAATTCATGACTCAGATTATGAACGATTATGCGCTTTGGATAGATAGATGACATTATTACAACTCTATTTGAATAGATAATTCCACCCTGCAAATTTCATAGAAGACTCAATGTTGTACAGATAGGAA